GGGTACACCATGAAAACTGCCTAAAGCTTCTTAGTACAAATGAGAAAAAACCTGTATTTTTAAGTGTGTCTTTCTTTGATTAATGTTGCCAGAGAACAAACTGAAAATGTAAATACTTTTCAATGTTTTATTTTGATGATTTGATGCATTTTTTTTCCGTTCATTTTTTTCAATCTTGCATTTTTGCATATAAAGTGATCCTCACAAATGAGCTCATAATATGCTCTTGCATTTCATTGTCAAAAATTACGCAAATTGAATGAAATCATTTCTAGAAAGGAACTGATTACTCGCCTCAAACTCTAAATTTGTATTACCTTTATCTTTGCAACCAAATTTAGTAATATCTTAGATATTTAAACTATGAAATCTATTAGATCATTTATTTAAAGCAAGAAGTTTGAAAGATTTTCGCAAAATGCACATTTCTTAGATTATGTTTAATCTAAAAGCTAAAAGTTGCACATCCCTAAGATCATTTTAAATTGAAATATTAAAAGTTTTAAATCTCTAAGATCATTTTAAATATGAAATTAAAAAGTTACCCATCCCTAAGATAACATTAAATTTAAAAATAAAAAGTTGCCCAACCCATGGCAAATAGATTATCAAGTACAATAGGTGGCAACAGAGAAATGGACCAATTATACACGACGTCACAAGTGTCAAACATAACTAGGAAAACGAAATTTTCTCACATTAGTTGAAATGTTCTCCAAGATTATATACAAAATTTATTTTCAAACGTAAGGTGACATATATTTAGGTCAAGTATGTACAGCTATTTGCTATTTGGACGAATCCCTTGTTTAAATCTATAGTACATGTCTACAAGATACTGATATATAGGATATATATATTTGGACGAATCCCTTGTTTAAATCTATAGTACATGTATACAAGATACTGATCTAGGATATATATTTATGGACGAATCCTTTGTTTAAATCTACAAAGTACATGTTTACAAGATACTGATCTAGGATATATATATATGGACGAATCCCTTGTTTAAATCTATAGTACATGTCTACAAGATACTGATCTAGGATATATATTTATGGACGAATCCCTTGTTTAAATCTACAAAGTACATGTATACAAGATACTGATCTAGGATATATATTTATGGACGAATCCCTTGTTTAAATCTACAAAGTACATGTATACAAGATACTGATCTAGGATATATATATTTGGACGAATCCCTTGTTTAAATCTACAGTACATGTATACAAGATACTGATCTAGGATATATATTTGGACGAATCCCTTGTTTAAATCTACAAAGCATATGTTTAAGGATATTTTGCTACTTCTATGAAATATATTTGGATTGTATATATCTCCTAGAGTTTAACCTCAGTTACAACTATACTCTCAAGTGGGAAACATTGTCTGCGTGTTTTTATTTACCGCATATTTAGGGCTGGGCCAGTGGGCAGTAGGCCTACTATTCGATCCGTTATTTTAAACATTCAAAGGGACTGTGTAGGCGTTTTCTAAAACTAATTTTAATCTAATAAACAGCATGTCCAAGAAACAAGAATGATAAAGATGTCATTGTACGTTTTTCTATCTTAAAACTTGCCAAATTCTAACAATTCAAGTTAATTCAAAATTGTGTGTTAATGATGGACTATACCTCTATAGAGTTAAAGTATATGTCAGCTCCACATTTTATTGTAAATATATTCCGGTCTGGACTGAACCTCGTCAGTTCTAGCATTATCATTTTAGTTTCAGTATAAGTAAATATTTCCATTTACTAATAGCATCGATTGAAGGATTCATATCTCTAATTGGATAAAAAGATAGATAAAAAGATAGATGTTACCACCAGACTATTTCTATTGGTTCAGAATAGACAACAAACACATGACTGAACCCTGATTGGATCAGGCGCTAATGGACTCAGCATACAGGAGTGTTATAATCCCCATCAAAATTAATAATAAGAAAATGTTAAAAGCCTTAAGAAAATATTTTATTAAAAAAGAATTCAAGTTAAATTGTCTCTTCAGCATAAATCCGCAAGTCATTTTATATGGAAACCACAATCTCATTTACTCATATTAAAAGGTACTGTTGTGTATCGAACATGCCATTACATTATTGGAGGCTGCCAGTGCCCAGCCCTACTTGACGGCAGTTACTGGAGTACATGAGTATGGAAAAAACAAGAAAATGAAAACCATATGTAGTATTGTGCAAACTGCATGATTTCATGTTTTTAATAAAGTCTTATCTTCTTGTCTCATACGATAACTTTTAGCACTAACCAGTAGGTCAAATATAACTAATTTTCTTTCTTTCTAAATATAAAATATCGGGTTGCAAAGATAGAGGGATTAAAATCAGAGTTTGTGGCAAGTTTTGATTGAATTTAGATATGAAAATTTTAACATTGTTGAAATGCTAAATCTATCAACAAAAGTGTCTAGTAAATGATAAATTAAAGGTTTCAAATTATTGCAAGTCAACTTACAAGTCAGAGAAAACGTAGACTTTTACTTTAGTAAAAGCAAATAAACGTTGCATTTTATATCGCTTTTTATTAAACATGTTACACGATGATGTAGATGTCTTGGTCAGTGAACCTTCACTTTCGAAACCATTTAACCCTTTTTTTTGCTATTTATCAAATAGTTCATGCACCTGATCAGAAGCCGTAACTAATCTTTATCTTAGAAAACTTAAACATATAAAACTAAATTTGGTTTCGCGTAGCCCTGCAAATGTAAATATGAATTATTTTACTGTCTAAGTGGGGGTTCCCCCCCCCCCTCTCCTCCCTTACAGAAAACGTCCGGTCGCCGGCCTGAAATCTCAATCTAAAATAAATTGCTAGAAAAAACACGACATCTTCGTTTCGAATATTTTTGCAATTTCGAATAACAGATTTCTTTTGGAAAATTCTGGGAAATAACTAAACAAAGACTTAAAGTTCTTCACGGGAAAGGCAGGATATTTCTATTTCTTGAGTGAAATTTCTAATGTCCAGATCCGTATCTAAACATGTTTTTTAGGGGGGGGGGGGGGCCTCCTATACTTATAATTTTATCTTACAAAAGAGGGGGGGGGCACTTGTTCAATTGCTCCCCCTCCAGCTACGTAACTGAAAAAAATTAAAATGAACATTGTTATCATTTTATTAAGAATTGATCTAAATAAAATTTGGGAAATCTTAGAAATTAACCAGTAATAAGCTGAATGAAAGTCGTCTTTATTTACTCACTAATTTCAGTTTCTCTTCCTTAGAATGGAATATTGTAAACTTTATATGTATCCTGAAATGGAATATTATCATCTATCTATGTATCCTAGAATGGATTATTATCATCTACATATGTATCCTAGAATAGTAATTATCATCTATCTATGTATCCTAGAATAGAATATTATCATCTATGTATCCTGAAATGAAATATTATCATTTATCTATGTATCCTAGAATGGAATATTATCATCTATGTATCCTGAAATGGAATATTATCATCTATCTATGTATTCCTAGAATGGAATATTATCTATCTATGTATCCTAGAATGGAATATTATCTATCTCTGTATCCTAGAATCGAATATTATCATCTATATGTGTATCCTAGAATGGAATATTATCATCAATATATGTATCCTAGAATGGAATATTATCATCAATCTATGTATACTAGAATGGAATAATATCTATCTATGAATCCTAGAATAAAATATTATCATCTATCTCTGTATCCTAGAATGGAATATTATCTATCTATGTATCCTAGAATGGAATATTATCTATCTCTGTATCCTAGAATGGAATATTATCATCTATAAGTGTATCCTAGAATGGAATAATGTTAATGATGAGAATGGATGAGTATGGGGACAGGACGGAGAAGCCTGATAGGACTGATAGATCATTAAATGGGATTTCACAGTAAGGATGATGAATGTGAATCTAACCAAACTAACAGGGAGAAGGACGGAATTCATTTTTTAATTAAAATATTAAAAATATTTGTGTGCTAATCTATAATATTAAAGGGACTGTAAGCGTAAGATGGTAATGCCAAATTCACAATGGTACCTTTGAAACCTTTTTCTGATCATTAAATGTTTAATTCTGATATTTTATATATCTATATTTCCTGCAGTAGAAATGCGCAAGTCAACTTTAAAGAAAATCCCCAATTGAAAATAATAACTTTATAAACATTAATTTCTATTTCATGCTTGATCAGACAAAGCTTTTAAGGCACTGTTGTAAATCAGGCATTGTTGGCACTGTTGTAAATCAGACATTGTCATCTTTGTTTTGAGGGTCACTTGAAATCCCTTTAATCCACCACATGCATGAATTATTTATTTAAAAATTGCATGAATCAGTTTTATTGTCCTCACAATAAATGTGCCTGAAAACACACACCCCAAAATGCTGTGGAATAGAAAGACGATATTTACGCAAATTTATGTTCATTTAAAGTTGTTAGAAGGCAAATCTTTTCACTTGCAAATTGAAATAAACTTATTAAGTGAAATGGTTCTGTATACACTGCACAATTGCTTTTTATTAAACTATTAAAAATAATAACTTGAGTCTTAAGTCGTCTTCCTTTTCCACAGTTTTATAAGTCCCACTGGATGCGATCTCCAACCTAAATCTTGTACCAGATGTTAACCCAATTATACCCACTCTCATAACAACACCAGTGTGGCATTTGCAATTTACAACAGGACAATTGATAACCCATTTTGTCCTCGATTTAATTCTAACAACTGTTTTAAACCCATTTATCAAAAAGCATAACTTTAACAGTAGATGTTCACATTTTTATCCACAACTTAAAACTAATACAAGTTAAATGTTAACCCATTTATTCTTTTCTTAAATTACCTAAATTTTATTTTTATTTAGTTTTTAACCCATTTACGCCAAACGATAATTTAACAGTAGATGTAAACCCATTTATGCCAAACTTTAATCTGACACTAGATTTACGTTTAACTTGAATGTAAATCTAGAATTGTTAACCCATTTATACCAAACGAATATTTAACAGTAGATGTTAACCCATTTATCCCAAACCTTCTTGTAACAGTTCCTGTTTGTGTTCATGTTCTAATACTAACTCAGATTCCTTACTAACCTGGGGCAAAATCAATAAGGAATATATTTCTATATTGAACTATAGCTTGGGAACAAAACTTTGTCTGGAATCTAAGTTTTCCATGCAAAATCGACCTATTAAATCAAACTAAGAATATTTTAATTAATTCCCTAAATGAGGAAGACGACTGCAAGACTCGAGTTATGATTAAATAGCCTAACAAACAATAAGAAGCTATGCAGTTTACATAGAAACTTTTAACTTAATTAGAAAAACTAATAGACACACTTTTTGCAATATTAATAATTCAACTATATTGCTCAGTGTACAAAACCGAGTGCTTGAATGTCGTCTTCCTAATCAACATTTTTTTTATTTTTTTTTATCTTATTCTACCACGTCTGACAACAAGGCGAAAATTAGACTAATAAAACTAGAAAAATATGTCTCCAGGAAATTAAAGGTTATAAGAGAAACCTTCCCCTTTCCCTTTCTGCGTTCAGAAAATATGAAAACCCAGAGTTCAGAAAACCAGATCGTTTACCAGAGTCTAGAAAAACATCTCGGGAGACAGAAATCACTTTCATGACCTCTTCTAATCATCCGTACATGCAGTTTCAAGGCAGTCCATAAAATTGAATCAACTGACTTACTCTTTAATCATATTGAATATCTTTTACTGCGTTTAGACCCCATGATTCCCCCAAAAGAGGGGGGTCAAGTTACTTAACGTCCTTTAGAAGAATGCATTTAAAAAATCGCGCATTTTTATTCAAATAGACAATGCAATTGAGTAAAATAAACAACGGTGGGTATTTAAATATATATGAACTGTACTGCAGAAGAGACCGTGTACAAACTTCTGGAGGATTCAGCTCATATAGGATTTTCTCCTCTTTCCCTAGGGATCAGTCAGTGCAACAATTTTTTATACGATGGGACGATGGAAAGATGAGACGACATTAAAGCAATCTTGTGTGTTTTGATATTGTTATACAGACATTAGTTTTACAAGTTGGCATTAAAATCAACTAATGAAGGGAATTGGGTCTGTGTACACTGCACAGTGGGTGAATTTCATGCTTATTGGACAATTTTCGTAAATAATTTGATTCTTACAATAATCTAAGTATCCTGCAGTTTTAATGGTCTTACTATGTACCTTTGTAAAACACTGTGTCCTTCTTGCAAATATTTTCTTTTTGGTTTTAGACATTTCTCTCAGCGGCCTTGCAAAGATCTCTTCTTTAATCTTTTATATTCAAACCAAAATAGATGCAAAACCGAAACAGGTTTTGTTTTATGTAATTTCGAAATTAAAACTTAGAAATTAACATAATCTTCTTCAACGATAAATTCCTAAGTAATAACTCCATAAAAGAACAGTTGGGTTTGAGACACTACAATTGTACTTAAAAAAAGAAAATTTTTATGTTTAGAGAATAGAGACTTATTTAGAATATTTTTTTTCAACTTTTTTATCTTCAAAAACTAAAATATTAGGCCATTGGTAATTTTTTCTCCAATATTTCTTTTTCTTGGGAAACATGTTTTTACAAATTTTCATTAGAAAATTAATAAAAGAATTATTGAATCGAAAAATTTATTCTTTTCTCTTAAATGTTTCACTAAATGTTGAATGAATGGTAATTCAATTTCATTATAAAAAAATTTGTTCGTCAAAATGATTAATATTTTCTCATTCCTAAAGGTTGCTAAAGCTAACGAATTAATTATTTTTTTTTAGTTCAAATAAAGTTTTCATGAATGGTTTTTATTCCATTTGAAAAAAAAATCGACTTTACTTATTGAGTAATTTTTCATGTTCAATATTTTAAGTTTTATTTTTAGGCCTAGACTGAATTGTATTTGTTTGATTAGAATTGACGAGCAATTATTAGCTTGACAATGACATCCACTCAATTACGAGAAATAAAAAATAAACACGTTTTCCTTTTAAACGCAATTTTGTCAAACATGAAGGAAAACATCTTTTGAAATAACAATTTTCTTGTTCTCGAATATTTATTTTTCTTAAACAATGTCCCCCTCTCCTTCTCTTAAACACTGAATCTGGTTTCCAAATTTGTATTGAAAATCAGGTTGCATTGCAGAATATGATTTTTTACTCCAGAAGGAACTGCAGAGGCTCGTTTTTAAAACATTAAAGGTTTTAGAGTTTTAAAAGGCTTTACGAGAATCTGAGATTGTTATCCTATTTAAAAATTAAAAACCTGATAAGTTTGCTTTGTTAAAATATACACAATATTTACTTCGACTTATGATTTCACTAAAAACAATTTTTACAGTAGTTTTTTTAACAATAATTTTGGTTAATATTTTTGTAATTAATGAAACCCAATAAAAGCAAAACTTTTATTTATTGGATTTTGCTAAGCAATATAATATTTCGGAAACCTTAGATATTTCAAACTACTTTATGTAGCAACATTAATTCATAGTTTGAATAATCAAAGGTCTACACCATAAGGTTTAAAGTTTTGAATATTGCAATTTTGATTGTTTTAAAATTAATATTAACAACCGTGCATGACAAGTTACTTTTATTAAAAAAAATTTTCTGTAAAAATCAGGAATGTACGGTTTATGAAGAATTGAATTTTTGTTGGCAATATAAACAATGATTAATTTAGAATTAGAGTCTTGTATGAAATTCTATTCCATGTTAAAATCAATATTAAATTCACTAAGTAAAATTACGTAAATTGTGAGTTTCTTTTATCCCAAATCTTGCATGAACTGATTTTTAGAAAAATTTTCTCTTCTTTCCTCTGCGGCTCTCCCCTCCTGCTTTTCAATATTTAGGAAAATACTGGATATTTTTACATTTATATATTTTTTGAAGTATATAATAATACAATAAATATAAATATTTCAATACATTTATCCACTATATCTGAGTATCTATTCTGTTGAGGGAACCCCCGGGTGCCCGAGGAGTAACATAGACTAAAAAAAAAGAATTTTTTCTTCTTCAAAAATCTAATTTTCATGTAACTGTATACCCTGGGATTAATATAATGAATTTGAACTGCCAACCGCCAGTTCAAATTTGAATCACCGATTTAAATCCTTCCCTAATCTTTAAATGCTTGTATTGCAGTGATGCCCTGCAGAAAGTACTAACCGCTATCTTGTATCTTATATCCTGTATCCTGTATCCTGAAGTATATATAGGTGCATGTATTGCAGTGATGCCCTGCAGAAAGTACTAACTGCTCTATATCTTGTATCATATATCCTGTATCCTGTATCCTGAAGTATATATAGGTGCATGTATTGCAGTGATGCCCTGCAGAAAGCAGTAACTGCTCTGTATGCGAATATTTTGGTTATTCTTGGGTTCGCACTGCCTCTGGCGGAGAGCATTGCAGTTAATATATCAGAAGGTTAGTATTATAAATTTAATATTTTTTTCTGTTATTCCAGAGCTGAAAACTTTAGAATGGTGGATATCGAGATCAATGCTTGATCTACTTTTTACTTTTTTTTTACATATTGTCATAAACTATCAATTGAAATATACACATACTAAGGATACTATCAACTGATCTACGTATATTTACGATATTTTAAGATTTGAATGAAGGTAAATATCCCATGACTTTAAATTCCTTCACGACGCTCGAATTATAACACAATAAACACAAAACAATACTTTATTAATAATGTAAAAATGACTTATATTTAGGATACCATCAACTGATCTACATATATTTAGGATACTATCAACTGATCTACGTATATTTAATATACTACGGTGGTAGGCGGTTTTATCAATGTAAAGAAGACGACTTTTGATTTAATTTTTTATATATCAAGCTTTATAACACCATGGATACACAAAAACATAGATACAATGAGATGCTGTCAATTAAAAAAGCTTCATTTTAATTACTTGTAAACTTTGAATTCGGAAAAAGCTTGTTAACCATAAAACTCTAACAAAATGTCGTCTTCATTATATTGATATAATCGCCTACCACCGTATATCAACTGTTCGACGTATATTTAGAATACCATCAACTGATCTACATATATTTAGGATACTAGGACATTATCAACTATTCTACGAAGTTAGGTATATTTAGGATATTTTCAACTGTTCTACGCATATTTAGGATATTTTCAACTGTTCTACGTATATTTAGGATATTTTCAACTGTTCTACGTATATTTAGGATACTATCAACTGTTCTACGTATATTTAGGATACTATCAACTGTTCTGCGTATATTTCGGATACTATCAACTGTTCTACGTATATTTAGGATACTATCAACTGTTCTACGTATACCTGTACCTTGGTAGTCTATTGTTTCTTCTATTTATCTACATAGACCTACTTCAAACAAGGTAAATTCAGATTATATTTATTGATAAATACAGTTTTTCCTTGAGAGAGCATGTATCATTATTCCATAGTTTATCTTATCTGTAAAAGGAAAAAGTCTGTAAAAATAAAGCATGAGTCGATATTTCAACCCCCGAAAAGAGCTCAAATGCAACAAAATTGGCTGAACAAATAATTAGAAACGGTCTCAACTCTCGAAATTTTGTCCTTGAACTTTCAAGTTAAAATTTCATTTCATTTATTACTGTTTCCGAATCTGAAATGTAAATTAAAACGTATAGCAATGATTCTTCAAAATCAGTTAATGGATTTTCATATTTTTTGTTGAAGAATTTTTTGGAGTTTGGCGCACAGTCAGTTTGGTGTAAGGTATCAAACCAGTTTTACATTTCTTGGAATGTGTGTTTTCCTTTTTTTGAAACAAATTAAACAATTAATTGGTTTTCTGATCACAAGGTTTAAAATTTTAATAAAGTTATTCCAAAAGATTTTTTTTTTTAAATTATAAAATGACGAAAGGAAATATTTGCTGTGCATGGGAAGAAAGACCCACAAAGAATGAGACTTCAGGGACGATTGTACGATAACTAATCTGCCTTATGTCTTACATTAATAATCCCCTGCAGCTGTAAACTTGTTTTTCTCTTTGGTCAAAATATTAATCTATCATTTAAATACTATATAAAAGACAGAAGATAAAATTTAACTTTCCATTGGCCATATGGTCTCATCCTTTGTGGGTCAAACTGTACAAGCCAGAATTTTTCATGAGAAACTAAGATCAACAAAGACAATATATCCTGAAACGCTAATTTGTTAAGCAAATTGATTAGGATTTTGGCAAATTGCTTCTTTAAAATCCAAGCCAAAATTGATGATGCCTAATAATTACAGAATAATCGACAAGATTGACCTGACCTAATCTGACCAAGTTTTGCACAGCATCCTAGTTCTTCAGATTGTTTTATAACTGCTTAGTTTTAAGTTTAAACTAATTATACTTCCTATCTAAAGAAATTAACTTTTTTCTCACTAAATCAAATTTCCAATTCTTACATCTTTTCAACTTGATGGTGTAAATCTTTGATATTTCAATTGATGCAATAGAAATTTTAGTTAGAAATATCAAAAGTCTACCACAATGGGTTGCAAAAGTATAACGATTAAAAGATCGGAGTTTAATTTAAAAACTTAACTTCTTTGTGTGATCGCTTAGCTAAGTTATCCTACAGTCTACGGACCAGGTTCAACCGTTGACGCCGAAGGTAGTCGGCTAAGCCAAGAAAGCACAGATTTGGAACACACAAATTTCCCCATTTAATTACTAGATACCAGCAAAATGTTGAATTTTTTAACCTGTGCTTTTTAAATTTAAAATTTCTGCATTGCCCAACCAGAAATTCTTCGTTCACCCAACTAAATATTGGACAAATTCGATAAATTTTAGAAACGAATTAGGGATTAAGGAAATCTAAAACTAAAGTATTACTTCAAAAGAACGCACCAATAAGTTTGAAAACAAAGTTTTATCTTCGGAATATAATATTTAATCGTTAAATTCTTTTGTATTGTTTATATTTGGTATTTATTTATCATTTAAAATTTTTATAAAGCAAACGTTTTAAATTTAAACATGTGTAAACTATCCATTTATGTATAAAAAGTACGAAAAATGCAAAATTTTACAAAACAGTCATAAAAATTCTATGCATGCACAATCTAAGAAATTATCAAATACAGTTTTTTAATAAAAAAGGTTTTTAAAGAAATTGAAAAAAATAAAATACAATTTCGCACAATGCTCTAGTATTCAAGAATGATCATCATATCTGTATGGTCAAAAATACAAAGGAAGATTAGAAAAAAATATTTGAAAGGAACTAAATACACTGCTCAATTTCAAATGTTGAAATCTTAACTTTGAAACCGATGTTGTGGACCTGATATTTACACTATCAGGTTCCAAAGATATTTAATTTTTAAGCCATTTTAGCCTTAAAAAATCACTGCACAGTTTATGATTCTGCAAAAATAAAAAGTCAACAAACTAATCAAAAATAATGTTCAGATTTCTAAAATAAGAAGTTAATCAGAAAAAATGCAAAGGAAAAAAATTTAATTTTTAGACTCATTTCAAATTACAGTGATTAACATTCCAATGTTAGCATAAAACGTGTTTATCTATTTTGAAAACAATACTTCGGATGTTATAGGCTAAAAAAGTTCTTTTTTAAATTTGGTTTTAAAATTTTTTTTTCTCGGGCACCGCCGGGCCCGTCAGCTAGTATCTGTTTAAATGCAAAAAAAATTAAATGATTATAACAGGAGCAAACCTGAGATTCTCAGGTTTCTGTGGGATATCGTCGTTATCAGATTGGTTTCGTATTTGTGAAATAAGATCTGTTTTATACTACACCTTTTATACAAAATTGCGTATATGAATTTTCGTATAAATTTGACACAGTTTTATATCAATTTCTCGAGACAGAAACTTCAGATAGATGTCTTATATGTGTCATTCTGTGTCATTCAACGCCTGAGATTCTCAGGTTTCATCCTATACGCCCTTTCTTTTTTCCTTTACAGCCTTTTAAACTAAAAAATTTAAAAGTACAAAGTTTTGTTCAATTAAAAGTCTAAACTTAAAAAATCATAAAAGAAGTAAATTATAAAAGTAACTTTTACAAGAATATTCTTTAACGTCAACAAAACCTTGAATACGTCTGACTAAATAAATAATTAAGATTAACGGATAAGCTGTATTCTTTGTATCCATGATATTTTAATCAAGTTTAAGGATAATAAAAATTTAGATCTTTTCAGAAACTAATTTAGAAAAAAAGGAAAATTAACTTGAAAAACAGCTTACTTTATTAACAAAAGTACATTTAAGTGTAGAAATCTATGAATACTGCAAAGTACAAAAATTAGACATCGATATTCCTTTGATCCGACCAAAAGTTCAAGAATTATGTATTTTAACGATTTTCTAGAGAACAGCGCGTTATTTTATGACTGAATTCGATAAACTACAACAAAAACTTTATTGCATAAATCGGAAAAATATTGTCTGTTTCTGGCACCTAGGAGATAAACAAAGCCCAACAAAATTTTTTTTTGAAATATCAAAAACTGAAAACCTACATGGTAAGGGTGAAAATCGGTTTTAAAGGTAAGACTTACTGGACTGTAACCATGTTCAAACGTCTAAGGTTGGTCAGCACCGTTGAGAAATAAATAAATTGTAATTCAAGTCAATACATAACCATTACTTTGTTTGGACCATTTCTTAATAATATTTTGATAGATTTTTCTTGTTCATCGTGGATTTAAGCTTAAATCCTTCCATTGAAAGGTTCACATTGTTGATATCAATTGAAGAAACTATTTCCAACATGTTATTAAGTGCGACGATAACTACAAAGAACACTATTAACCTTTTTTCTAAAATTAAAAAATTAAAATTCGGAGTGATCAAAGTTGATTTTGCTATTCTAACCAAAATGTTTAGCCTCAGTGTAACACTTTTATTATATATGTGTATTTAAAGCATTCTATTTTAGACAGGAATGCAGATTATTAAACTTTTATGATAAAAAATACAAAAAGTGCAAATTTTTAAACTGTTAAGATAACAAAATACAAACTTGCAGATTTTAAAANAACTCGGAAGAAACGAGGTAAATAAATCTATTCAAGGAGAACTCGGAAGAAACGAGGTAAATAAATCTATTCAAAACCTTTAATCCTAAAAAATCTGAGGTTGGAACTGTTGTTCGGAGTATCATTAGTCTTAAACGCTTTATCTCGAATTTCAATGTGTCCACTTTTAAATTTGAGGATACACGCTGGATATCACCTCAATTAAAGTTATCCCCACAGTGTATAACCATCATGGGATATATATCCCTACAGTGTATAACCATCATGGGATATATATCCCCACAGTGTATAACCATCAAGGGATATATATCCCCACAGTGTATAACCATCACGGGATATATATCCCCACAGTGTATAACCATCATGGGATATATATCCCCACAGTGTATAACCATCATGGGATATATATCCCCACAGTGTATGACCATCATGGGATATATATCCCCACAGTATATAACCATCAAGGGATATATATCCCCACAGTGTATAACCATCATGGGATAAATATCCCCACAGTGTATAACACTCTTTCTGAACACTCTTTCTGAAAACTTTTTCTGGACACTCTTTCTGAACATTCTTTCTGAACACTCTTTCTGAACAATTTTTTTGAACACTCTTTCTGAACAATCTTTCTGAACATTCTTTCTGAACACTCTTTCTGAACACTCTTTTTGAACACTCTTTCTGAACACTCTTTCTGAACAATTTTTCTGGACACTCTTTCTGAACATTCTTTCTGAACACTCTTTCTGAACACTCTTTTTGAACACTCTTTCTGAACAATCTTTCTGAAAATTATTTCTGAACACTCTTTCTGGACACTCTTTCTGAACACTCTTTCTGAACACTCTTTCTGAACACTTTTTATGAATACTCTTTCTGAACACTCTTTCTGAACATTCTTTTTGGACAATCTTTCTGAACACTCTTTCTGAACTCTCTTTCAGAACACTCTTTCTGAACACTCTTTCTGGTCACTCTCTTTCTGAACACTCTTTCTGAACACCTTTCTGAACACTCTTTCTGAACTCTCTTTCAGAACATTCTTACTGCACACTCTTTCTGGTCACCCTCTTTCTGAACACTCTTTTTGAACACTCTTTCTGGTCACTCTCCTTCTGAACACTCTTTCTGAACACTCTTTTTGAACACTCGCATCAAACAAAATCTAATTTTCTATAAATCTCTTTATCTTTACAACCTGTTTGTGTAAATATTTGATATTTTAATATTTTAATTTTAATCATGTTTTTAAATATCAAAGGGCTTCGCTATCAAATTGCAAAGATATGAGGATTAGAAAATTTGAGATTTAAGCGAGTAATAATCAAAAAATTCCGTCAGAACTGCGTGTTTACTTTTTTACATTAACAGTTTTCCTCCTTAATTCTCATTTTATTTACCTAAATATTTTTTATTTTACTTATAGTAAAATTAACTTGGGGGGGGGATATTAAAATAAACTTACCCCCCCCCCATGTAATAAAGGGAAGTTAAAATAAATAATTGAAATTGTTTAGTGGAGACACAGTAGCAACAGAGCCCGATGGAATGCCCAGGTAAAGTTTATAGTTTGAGATGTAGGGATGTAGGGATCTGTTATATAAGGAGTGCACCTCCCCCTGCCCACCCCTTGATTGTTACTAGAGTTGAGGTAGAAAATGGGATACATATATATGTTATGATATTCTTATATTAAAAATTTGTTAAATCAACTATAGCTCCATTCCTGTAGAGATATTTAATAAAATGCATCAAATTTGACATGTATTGTATTTGTATATATATCTGTACAAAGCAATTAAAAATATACGTACTAAATATGTATACTGAGTCGTAATTTTACTTTAATTCAATGTGTCTTATATGCGTCAGTACGTCCAATTTATTTTTCCTTTATTTTAAGACTTAGTAAACTATTTATATTTCACGAACAATCATAGTTGCAATCATGGTTATAATGCAAGAAAAGGTGTGCGCATCTTTTGTACTGCAGTTTACTGTCTCTGGGCAGTAATGTAAACACAAGACGGAAGTCACAGCCTGACATGGGATCCATCTTTCAGATAAAAAATCAATAAAATATTCTTGTCATAGGAAACTATTATGTGAATTATCAAAATTATCAAAATTAGATGCTTTTAACCTCCTCGGATTCTAAAAGAACACTAATGCATCTATTCTTGTTTACGAATTCCGCCAGAGAGAACTGGTTTCAATATGTATGCAGAGTATACGCGACCGCAATTCACTTTCCTTGCATTATAACCTCGGTTGCAAGGAAATTGAATTTATAGGCACCACTTCACAAAAATGCGCTATCCCATTTTTATATCTATTTTCATTGTTGACTCACTGCGAGCTTGAAAGATAAAGTCAAATTTTTGGAACATTACTGGTCCGACTTCGTGACCTCGTAGCTCCTCTAGAATTTGTTACAATTAAGATAATCAAAACATCTTTATTCTTCTCAGTAGCTCTTAATAAGAGAAGTTATGATTAAAAACATTTAAGGTTTTATCTCATGGTCAATTTACTTTAGTTAACGTAGAATAACGCAGAAATCAAAAATGACTAATATTAATCAAAAATCCAAACAGAAGAATATTTTGAAAAAAGTCATAATGAGTTGATTATAGAAAATCTACTTCTTAAAACTTATTATAGGTTCTGATTTCCTGGTTAGCTACTAAAAAATAATGTGAAACATGAAACATTTTGAAAATATTTTATGATAATAAGGCTTGTTAAAGCATAAGCCGGGATTATAACCATCAGGTTTTGAGGAATTGATCTAATAGTTCAGAACCCTTGTCTATATGTAGTAAATTCCCTACTCCAATAAATTGTTTTAGATCCGTACCAATCCAGGTATAACTTTCCGTATTCTCAGGTATCTGTTTTACAAGATACAACTCAATCTCAAACTCAATGTTCCTCAATAATACTTTATTCAATATCAATCCGGATACGACTCTGCATTCTCAGGTATCTGTCTAACAAGATACAACTCAATCTCGAACTCAAGGTTCCTCAATAATAACTTATTCAATATAAATCCTGATACAACTTTATCTGAATTCTCAGGTATCTGTCTTACAAGATACAACTCAATCTCGAATTCAAGGTTCCTCAATAATACCTTAGTCAATATAAATCCGGACACGACTCTATCTGTATTCTCAGGTATCTGTCTTACAAGATACAACTCAATCTCAAACTCAAGGTTTCTCAATAATACCTTAGTCAATATCAATCCAGATACGACTCTATCTGTATTCTCAGTTATCTGTCTTACAAGATACAACTCAATCTCATACTCAAGGTTCCTCAATAATACCTTACTCAATTTCAATCTGGATACAACTCTATCTGTATTCTCAGGTATCTATCTTACAGGATACAACTCAATCTCAAACTCAATGTTCCTCAATAATACTTTGTTCAATTTCAATCCGGATACAACTATCTGTATTCTCAGGTATCTGTTTTACAAGATACAACTCAATCTCGAACTCAATGTTCCGCAATAATACCTTAGTCAATATCAATCCCGACATGACTCTATCTGTCTCAGGTATCTGTCTTACAAGATACAATTTACTATATTTCCTAGCCTAGATCTATCTTTCAAGATGAGACTCAGGTCCCCTCTCGTTTTTGCTAAACAAGGAAAAAATTACTCTCACACCGTAATCAAAGAGGAGTATTATTCAAACTAACTGTTTATTTTGGGTTCTGCAGGTTAGATTAATGAACGTAATTACATGTTTTGCAATGTTATTTATAAGCATAGTTAGATTTATCACATTACAGACCCTGCGACCCTATTTATAATTGTAGTTAGGTTAATGTACAATAGATATTTAGTTTACTATGATGTTTGTTTCATATATTCATTTTTCATAAAAAAAGTATTTTTTGAATCCAACAATTGATATTTTTTTCTTAAAAGTAATAAAAGTTAAACATCCGGGAACTATTCCAAAAAATAAGGATGTTTATCTTTATTTTATTAATAAACTAGCTTTAGAACCCAGCTTTGCCTGGAATTTAAGTTTTCCCTTTAAAAGTTGATGTTATCAACTTAAAAATAATAACAATTCCGTGGTTTTACTCATTCAAAATTTGAGGCAAATCGGTCAAGAGGTTTATGAGTTATATTCAAACATACAAATAAACACCAAGACAAACAGAGATTACTACTTTATATTTAAAAATAGACGTTTAAATGAACTTTTCATTAAAATGATTAAATGTGAACACTTAAAGGGAGTGATCGCGAAAAATGAAAAACTTATCTTACTTCTATCTGTTGCGTTTACATTTGACTTGGATCGTGAAAATCAATTTAATTCCAAACAAATCGTTAAAATATGACTACCTATCGTCATCTGTAATTTTTCGACGCATTCGTATATAGTTGATATTTTATAAGATTTCATATTTCATATACTTTTTACTTTAAATGATGTTTTTTTTTCGGCGTTAGGTGTCGTTTTAGTCTCTTCCACGTGGAACTCCAGAAGCATCGAGCGCGGAGACAACTAGCGGCCAAATAAACGTCCTCTAAGTATATTGTATATGAAATATGTAAAAAATATTATGAAACATCAACTTTACATGAATGGATAAAAAAAAGATTTGTTTGGAATTAAATTGCCTTTTTTACTTTCCGAGTCGAATGTTGCAACTTTCTGAAGTAAGATTAGTAGCAATCATCATCGTAATTTTTCGACTTAAGCCTATACCTCCTTTCATTTTTCGCGAACACTCCCTTTAACACTGTAAAAAATGACAACATAATTTTCAGCAATTCTTCTGTTTAGGACTGCCATAATTTCTTTTTAAAAAAGAGCCTTTATGAAGTTTTTAATGTAAAGGGAAACAAATTAGCCATGTTTTTCCTCGTCTGTGGAATAAACTCTACAAGAAACTCAGATAAGCGTCAGGGGCGATACGGGGGTAGCGAGTTCCGCTTCCGTTCCCACTATCGGTACAGAGTTTTTAAAGATCAAGTCTCCCTCCTGAACAAAATCCTGTGTACGCCCCTGATAAAGGTTTAATTATGGTTTCATTTTTTTAAACTGACTTTTTAAGAAAATCAAATCTGAATTAAATGTAATATCCCTTTTAATTGTATAAGTAGCAAGAAGCCGGATAATGACGATGTACTTGACTATTTGCATGGAATGACCTTTCAAGATGAATTCTAACTTTAGTACATCATTGTTAACTGTGTACAGTACAATTAGCAATCAGACTAATCACTCCTAATGATTTGCAGCCCCCCCCCTATTATTTTTTTTTTACCTGAACACTGAAATACAAAGGATTTACCAAATTATGGGAACCAAGCGCCCTTAATTCTCTCTAAATTATTAAATTTGAGAAATATTACTAATTGACGAGTGCCAAGTGCCCTAAAGTGTCGGTATATTATTAGTTATGAAAAGGGTTACTATTTGTTGGGTGCCAAGCGCCCTAAATTGTCTCGATATGACTAGATTTTAGAAGGATTACAGTTGATGGGTGCAAAGCACCCTAAATTGTTGGTATATTATTAGTTATGAAAAGGATTACTAATTTTTGGGTGCCAAGTGCCCTAAATTGTCTCTATATGATTAGATTTTAGAAGGATTACAATTGATGGGTGCAAAGCACCCTAAATTGTCGGTATATTATTAGTTATGAAAAGGATTACTAATTTTTGGGTGCCAAGCGCCCTAAATTGTCTCTATATGATTAGATTTTAGAAGGATTACAATTGATGGGTGCAAAGCACCCTAAAGTGTCGGTATATTATTAGATATGAAAAGGGTTACTATTTGTTGGGTTCCAAGCGCCCTAAATTGTCTTGATATGACTAGATTTTAGAAGGATTACAATTGATGGGTGCCAAGCGCCCTAAATTATCTCTATATCATTAGATATGAGAAGGATTATCCCTGCCATACAACATACGGAAGCTTCTATCTACGGCTTGGAACAGTTTGTAAGTTTTAAATATTTTTAAGTTTTAAAAATTCTTTGCTATAAAACGTTTTGCAATAATATTTCAGAATTGTTAACCTTTTTAAAAATTGTAAACGTTTCATAAGTTATTACTTTCGAAAAAGGAATTGAGTCTTTGCCACAAACTCAAATATTCCCATCGTAATATCTCTACAACCTGAACGAAAAAACCTTTGATATTTCAAACAAATTCTGTTTATCTAACATAATTGATAGTTTGAAATATCTATGGTCTACCGTCTACGATATTGGGGGAACATATAAAGGTATTAGAAAATCTGAGTTTAAATTACATCACAAAGTTTACATAATCGGGTTCTACTGATATAGGGGTTTAAATATTTTAGTTTAAGACAAAGACTCAATTCCTATTTTATTTTGCTGTTTTAGTTTTTTTTATAATTTTTGTTTGTTTAATTTTTTATAGTTTTGTTTGTTTAGTATTTGGAATTGGAAGTCTAATCTACACTGGTATAGAGATAGGAGGGATTTTCGAGGTCTTAATTAATTAATTTCAATTATTTATAATTGATTAAAAAGTTTGCTAATTAATTAAGTGATATTAGTTTGAATTTTCTTTTAAGAACTTTTTATAATTTTTCCTTTTTGTATCAATATGTTATTTGTTCAATTTTCCTTTTAACTAAACAAATTGTCCTTATTTTTATGAAAACTTATGATAACCGGTTTTTTTCCCTGTTTGTAAATAATTCTAGCGGGATTTATATTTTCAAGAACTATACAACAGGCGCGATAAAAATGCGGCCCATTATTTTAACTATTAATGTTTTTTTTTCATGAATTCTACGATTTACTCGAATGAATATTTAAAACAAATTTTCGAACTCCTTCAATGAAATTTTAATGGCTAGCTTTAATAGCTACGAGAACAAAATAATTTTTAGATATATTAATATCATGGTCAACTTTTGGTGTTGATTATGTGTAAAGGGAACCTTTGTGAATTGTTCATGGCACATCCAGTAGTTTTTTCCAAATACTCAAATATGTATTGACATCTTTAGATTAAAAGATTTTAGGAAAAGTTGTTTTATAAAAATTTCGAGAAAAAAATCTTTCCAAAATGAAGATTTAAAAGAACTTTTTATAACTTTTTGGTTGTCATTAGTTTAGGTAATTAATGGTTTATATATTTTTCTAGATCGCCATTATGAATGGACTAACACGATGCGGAGACTTTATAACGATTGTCAGGGAACCTGTTTTAAATTAGAATCTTTCATTATTTTGTTGTTAAACGAATGTTTTTTATTTTTAAAAACTCACATCTTCTCTTGCTTACTGAAATGTAATATAATATTTAATTACTTTTAATTAACAAATAGCCAAATTATATAAAATGCCATTTTTTATTGTAATATTTTTTTAAAGAATTAAAATTCTTAGATGTACTTTATTTTTCTCAACCAAAAGATGAACGTATACAAGGAACCAAATGCAATTTTTATAATCAACAACATTTTTCATTCAGAAGTATTTTAACTTAAATGCTAAACAGTTTACTTAAAGCCCTTTGATTTTTCTTCATCAATTTTTTAAAAAGTTGAAAATTTGCGCAAAAATTACAAATTTTATTTTGAATCAGCAAATTAAAACATGCAAAAATAGTGGCAAAATTTTCGAAACCTAAGTGTGCATTTAAGAAAACTGAAAATGTGCAAATTTCTGTCAATGCCTCTTTAAAAAGCTGAGCAATTTTTTTTACAAAAATTGTAAATTTTTTTCTTTTTGTCATATGCTTTCAAAAAATCTATAAATTGTTGAAGTTAGTGAATGGAAGTAGGCCTAAATATAGATTTAGTCTGGTATAGGTACATAAGGCATTCAGGCAGAATGCCTGATTACTCATAACCATGGGCAATGGGTTTTAAAGTCTGGGGCATGTGTTAAAAAGTCTAAAAAATAGATTGGCCTGAAACCATTCTTTTTAAATTTTGATCAACCCACTTCAAAAAAAAAGAATAGCTGGGTAAAAGTTGTGACTAAGTGTTTTTAATCGCAGTATCAGGTCAGAAATGCATCACGACATTTGACCAAGTTAAAACATTCTCAAAAATCTCACTTAAATATTTGAATATTTTTTATTGAATCATTTGGTTTAGCACAAACTTGTTGGTCGGTTGGGACTGATGCACATGATTGCCACAAATCTGTGTGTTTGGCTAAAGGTACATTTTATCTACTTTTTCCTACGCCATTGTTAGTCTAATGATTTACTTTTTCCTTTATATTATTCCAGTAAAAACTGTTTTTATCTTGAAGGTTTTGATTATTGAGACAAGGCATGAAATAGAGTTGGCCCATCATAAAAATACACAGGTTCAATAAATCAAATTAGTTCTAGATATAAATCTATTTAAATTATTTATGGGATTGTTTGCATTTTTTTAGGATGTTGAAAATTGAACATTTTTAAGGGCGTTTAGAATTTAAATAGTTAACTTTACCCACTCGAAAATGCAGTCAGTCCCTTCCATTAAATTAGTTTTCTCAGATTAGATTAGAAACTGTAGTTTATATGTAGAAAAATAGAATTAATGTAAAAGAAGATAACCATTGTTCAAAAAAAACCAGGAATTAATTATTGTTCTTCTATTTAGATGCTACAGATCCGGAATACAAGCCTGGAATTTCCTGGACTATTCACTAGGTGGAATATGTTTACAGGAATATAAACAAATATATAAGTTAATGTTTATTTACATTTTTTCAAAAATTCCTCTTCCTAGCCCCCTCTTCAAAACAAAAGGTTACCCACAAAGGATAAGACTGTAAAGACGACCAGAAACTCTTAAAATGTGATAAACCCAAGGTTGAATTTTGTATTCTGTCTTAGATATCGTAATCTAATGGCTTATTTAATGATTTGGCAAAGAAAGAAATAAAGAAATTGAGTCATATTTTCAAATCCCTATATATTTGCAACCTAATGTTGTAAAGCTTTGATATTTCAAACTTAGATACTTAGATTATTATCGAAATTGTATAATTGATCATATTTCGTGCATTTTTGATTTTGTACATTTTTTGCTTTATAACTTAATATTGCAAAAAATATTTGAAATTTTTCAAATTTACAATTTTTTTGCATATTATTAAAGTAGAGCCCAAGGCTTTCTAAAAGTGTACCATATGTTATATATTTGTATGACAATAAGAAAATCTAGAGTGGGGTCCCAGGGAACCCCCCAGAATATTTGGGTAAGCTAGACGTCAGCCTGAGTAGGGTTGACAAATCTGTATTTTTATCGGAAAAATTTTATCAATCGTTTTCAAAAAACAAAGATGGAATTTTTTAAACAAATCAAAAGAAGAATCCAAATCTTATATCCTCGTCTATCTTACTTCCTGCTAAAAATATGCTGATCAGCTCCAGAGCCAACCTGGTTTCCGAGGATAGCCTCGAGAGTGTTGAGGATGATCTGCACGTTGATCAACATGATAATGATCATGATCTTCACCTACATCCAAAGGATGCTGTTTGTTCAAACAAGGTACAAAAAAACCATGTTCATAACATTATTTTCCTGATTTTTAACAAACTTTTTGTAATTTCGAATTGGTTTTGTTAAACATTACGGACAAAAAATTGAGTTTTTATCTGTAAATGGGGAAGGACAGAGATTAAACGTATTTCAACAATCTTCAAATATGCCAAAATTTTATATTTAAAATGGGAAGCGGGGGGTGGGAATAGGAGTTTAAGGAAAGAGAACAAGTTTCAATTGGTTTGGGCATTTAGCATAGGAAAATAATTTATATTTTCTTCCTAAAAAACTATATATAAATTTATATTAAAAAGTCAAGAGTTTTGTTTCATTTCATAAATTCATAAAGGAATTTTCATTTGCCCTTGTTTGAAAAATTTCTAGAAAATGAGATAAAAACAAGCACTGCGAATTTTAGTTTATAATAAAAGTTTATTGTTGTCTTATCTCAGCTTGTTTCTTTAATATAAAAATACACTATGGTTTTTTCCCCAGCTAAGATTTGAAATAATCAAAATCGTTAGAAAGAAGAAAATTTTAAAATTAAGCTTCAACTTTTTTCTTTGTGGTAAAATATCAATTTAAAAATATTAAAATCACAAATTTTTGATTTTACGCGAAAAGGACCATATTAGTTTTTATTTAACATTTTTCATAAAATAAAAGAAGAGTTTTCAACGAAAATATGCCGAATATTTAGAACTTCGATGTAATATTTAACTGAATTTTAGATAGATTTCGAAAAATGTATGTATTGAGTTTTTTTATCTTATGTTATTTAACGTGTTCAGATAAATGATTAAACTAAAATCGGATAGTTTTCTAACATTAAAAGCTATAAAAGAACCCGGAGATTTATTAAAATTGAGTTTATAAGAGAAAAAAAGAGACGTTCCGCGAAATTTTCTGTGAACTTGTTAAAAAAATTTAAGAATTATTTTAAAATTGAAAAAATCGTTGTGAATCGGGCATGTCATTTGTTAAATGAAGGTTCACATGAAGTTAAGAGGACTGTCCCTTTATCCAGGCTTTGAATATGTTTAGATAATGTACAAACTGCTGGAGGACTCTTCGCCTTTTCTTTTCCCCTGCACCATTGAGTTCAGGTATACAGGGTGATCCTAAATAAACATCCCAAAATGTGCCCGCTGGTATAGTTGTCAACTGTCAAGGGTGTCTCTTAAGAAACCTTTTGGTGTCATATTACAATACGTATTCAAGAATCTTGTTATTCTGATTTTTCATTATTATTCTTTAAAGTTGAACAAAAATTAATAATGCGTAAAATAAAATTTTAATCTTAATTGCAGATAAAATTTAATGTACCAAACCAGATTTCATATTATAATGATAAAGAATACGCAACTTAATTACATTTTGTTAAAGGGACTGTACGCGAAATTTTAAGTGACGCATGGAAAAGATCTTTATGTCAAGGTTCAGGGTTTATGAAAGCAATAGTAGGAAAAAATTGGAGTGGAGAACATTGTTGTCTTTCTTCTTGAGTTTAGCACAAGATCCTTCATGTTTATTAGTTTAGAATTTAAATAGATATTTCAAAAAGAAATAATATCAGGACTCTTATGTTGTTTTATGTCTTGTGATATGTTTGGAATTGTTTAAAGTTGACAACTATAATTTGATAATATTTGATACAAGTTGCAATATTACTAAAGAATGAAACTTTGGAAGACGATAAATACCTAAAACCCCCTAGAATTAACAATTAGCTGAATATATATTTATCGAATTCTTTTTTGGGTGTTTTTCAACTTAGGGTTTATGGATTTAAACCCTTAAACCCACATTGGTCACCCTGTAAATACATGTTCTTAGAAACCTATTTTCTGCTGTATTCTTATATATATATATTTAGTTTGATCTGTGCTGCTGTACTGTTATATATACAGTTTGATCTGTGCTCCTGTACTGTTTATATATATAGTTTGATCTGTGCTTCTGTACTGTTAAATATAGTTTTATCTGTGCTGCTGTACTGTTTTATATATAGTTTGATATGTGCTGATGTACTTTTTTATATATAGTTTGATCTGTACTGCTGTACTGTTTTAAAGTTTGATTTGTGCTGGTGTACTGTTTTACATAAAGTTTGATCTGTGCTGCTGTACTGTTTTACATATAGTTTTATCTGTGCTGCTGTACTGTTATATATATAGTTTGATCTGTGCTGCTGTACTGATATATATATATAGTTTGATCTGTGCTGCTGTACGGTTATATATACATATAGTTTGATTTGTGCTGATATACTGTTTTATATATATAGTTTGATCTGTGCTGCTGTACTGTTTTATATATAGTTTGATCTGTGCTGCTGTACTGTTTTATATATAGTTTGACCTGTGCTGCTGTACTGTTATATAGTTTGATTTGTGATGATATACTGTTTTATATATATAGTTTGATCTGTGCTGCTGTACTGTTATATAGTTTGATCTGTGCTGCTGTACTGTTATATAGTTTGAACTGTGCTGCTGTACTGTTTTTATCTAGTTTGATCTGTGCTGCTGTACTGTTTTATATAAAGTTTGATCTGTGCTGCTGTACTGTTTTATACAAAGTTTGATCTGTGCTGCTGTACTGTTATATATATAGTTTGATCTGTGCTGCTGTACTGTTATATATATAGTTTGATCTGTGCTGCTTATATAATACAGTGCGTGTAATTGTTCTATATTCTAGAACATATTAAATACAGTGCGTGTAATTGTTCTATATTCTAGAACACATATAATACAGTGCGTGTAATTGTTTTATATTCTAGAACACTATAATACAGTGTAATTGTTCTATATTATAGAATACATATAATACAGTGCAATTGTTCTATATTCTAGAACACATATAATACAGTGCGTGTAATTGTTCTATATTCTAGAACACATATAATACAGTGTAATTGTTCTATATTATAGAACCCTCACACTTTTCCTTAATTCAGTAAACGAAAGAAAAAATACTCTTTTTCTTTATTTTTTGGTTCTCGTTGTAGAGCTTCTGAAAATTCAGACATTTTTTGTCAATGTTTAAATTTCCAGGGCCCGGGGTACAAGGAGTACAAAAATACATTTTTTTTATCTTTGTGGAAAATTTATGTTACAATTATAAAAACTTCGTTTTTCCAACATTTTTAAAAGGTTATCTAGTTAATTGTTTGATTTATGACCGTATGTATTTTGTTTATTGTACAGAAACTCTTCTAAAACGATTTAATCTGTGGTTCACTTTATTTTACTTTAATGTGCAGAACGTTATTTCTTAATGTCGATTATAATTTGTATAAATATATTTTATAGTTACCTTAAAAATGTAGATATATTCTATCGTTCGGTACAATAGAGAATGATTCATTTTTTTGTTTCAATAAAATAACTCTGAAAGATAAGCCTGCACAGAACTATATTTGTTTTAGTGTCCATCAGAAATATTGTATATCTCCAGATTGCATAGATCAATTTATTTCAAGCAAATAAAAGAAATCATCAATATTTTAGTGCCCAGCTGGAACAATTCTTTTCAAAATAAATACAAAGTGCATACCGAAAAAGTTATGACTTTTAAACTGTCTGTATATATAGATATATATAAAGGTTGTTAATTATTTTTTAAAACGATCGATAAAACAATCGTTTTCATTTCGTTTTTTGTTTTACTAAAAATGATCGCATCGTTTTAGAAAAAACGAAGGATCGTCGTTGATGGTCGTTAACGATCATTAACGATCGTCAAAAATTAAAAACTACCTACCTTTGTTAACGAAACAAGAAACTAAAAGTAAAATTGCAAAATTCAGTTTTTTTCTGTATAAAGTACATCGCATTTTTGCCATAAAAGCACCATATATAATCGGAACCAAATGTCAAAATTTAGACAAACATTTGCGAATTTAATATCATGTAAAGACTTTTTTACCTCGTCATCAAAGATAAAAAAAGATGTTTAGAAAGACTCTGTAAGCATCATAGTTGTAATAATTCATTATAAACTAATGGTTTTGATACTAGATTTTTCCAGTTTTTAATCAATAGTTATTTTCTCCACAAAATCCCTAGCTAATGAAAACTAAATATTTCTGGATATATTACATTTAATGAAGGCTAAATATTTCTGGATATATTACATTTAATGAATTACTAGGTACAGAACATTTTAATTTAGTACAGTTCTTTAGATTTATAAAGATTTGTACTTTTAATCTAAAATTTTGTTACAATCCTAAATGCCTAATCCTTATATCTTAAAAACTTAATTCGGCTTCGTACTGATCAAATAGTAAAAGTTTCAAAGGTTTATTAAAAAACCTAATTTTTATTTCAGACATCAAACCTACAGCGTGGACTGCAGTCATGCAAATACTGGTTTATTTTGTGGGATTGTTGTTGTTGTTGTAACTATCATCAGTTTAATCATTTTCTTTGTATTTATCTCAAACGAGGATCCTCATACTAAACTCATTGCAGTTCAGGTAATACAAGAGAGTTCAGTGAGACACATAAACTTGTGGAATAAGTTTCAAAAATACTAATAAACAAGAAACAAAGCAATTTATACCCATTTCACTTAATAAGTTGATTAATCTTCTGATAAAACTGGATTGCTTAAATATCGGTTTATGTTTAACAAGCAAAAAGCTTAAATGCCTTTTTTTACTTTTTCCATCTGAATCTATATTTGAACCTACTTCCATTCATTGGATTTTTTAATGTACAGCTCTTTGGAAAGCCTATACAAAAGCAAGCAGATTGCATAATTTTAGCAAGAAAATTTTGTTCATATTTTTGCACTAAGTTTTTAAACTTCAAAGGGCTTTCCAAAAAACGCATTAAATGTTATAGACATATTTTACAAAAATAAATTTCAATATTATATGCTAATTACTGTTATATTCAAATTTATCAAATTTTCTAATCCATAAATCTTAACAACCTGATGGTGTAAACCTTTGATTTTTCAAATTTAGAAAATTTGATCCAACAGAATTCATAGTTTGAAATATCTAAGGTCTTTGACATTGGATTGCAAAGCAATAGGGATAAAATCTGAGTTTGTGACAAAAACTCAATTCCTTTGAAGTGACCCTTCTTTAATCATTATATGCCTGATTCAACACGAGTAAGGATACATTTGTATATTTACTCCCTTATCTCTGCTGTTTAAATCCGCATATCTTACCTCTTTATATCATCTTAATGTTTAGGTTGCTTCAATATCTGAACTGACACTATACGGCCTAACAACAGTTGCAGTTCTCCTAGGGCTCTGCCAGATGCGACGGTAATATTTTTAAAGGAGTCTGTAGACGTTTCTTGGAGTGTAACTCTACATTTGTGGATTGGAGTTTCTGATTCAAAACATGAACCCTTAAAGATGCATGATTAGCTTTCTTTTTCACGCGGCAAAAAAATATCTATTTATATTTTTGTAATGGGTATTATTAAGTGTGAAAAAGTTTTTGCCGGGATTTTTATTTTTTAGTTGAGATTGAGGGTTCTCTATAAAGAGATTTGTATATTTCTGCAAAAGAAAGATTTAGAATTTAGAATTAAATTTAGAATTACAGTAGCTTAACTTTTATGTACATTAGTCACTTAACTTTTATGTTCATACGTCACTTGCATTTGATGTGCATTATAACTTACATTTTATGTACATTAGAACATACATTTTATGTACATTAGTCACTTACATTTTATGTACATTAGAACTTACATTTTCTGTACATTAGTCACTTACGTTTTATATACATTATAGAACTTACATTTTATGTAAATTAAAACTTACATTTTATCTACATTAGTCACTTAGATTTCTGTACATTAGTCACTTAACTTTTATGTACGTTAGAACTTACATTTTATGTACATTAGAACTTACATTTTATGTACATTAAAACTTCGAAGCATGAAAATAATTAAGCAAAAGTGAAGTTGATGTTGTAAGAATATATGGCTTTTAACAAGTCTGCTATTTTATGTAAATAATTAACAAAATTATCAAAAATTAATAATAGAAATACAAGCTGAAAAAGGTTTAATATTGTACAGTGAACATTGGAATTGGAAGACACCATGCATTAAAGAAGTACTTAAGTATATTTTATGTTTTTACTAAACAAATAGTTTTACTAGACACTTAGCAAATCACTACTTTAGTGAAATGGGACTGTTTACACTGCACAATTGCTGTGTCTCATAATCATTGGACTTTTTAAAGTTTACTTCATTCTAAAAGTCGCCTTCCTATTTCATTGTTTTCTGGTTATCACTGTAGTAGAAAACATTTATAATTTTATCCCTTATCTAGGTGTACCTAGGGATGTTAACGTTTACATTCTTTTGAAAAACGATCGTTTCGTTATGAAACCGACGACGAAAAATCGAAAACGAAACGATCGTTTTTAAAAACAATCGTATTTTTTAAAGTTCGTTTTTTAAAAATGATCGTTTTTAAAACGATCATTTTGTTAACGATTGTAAACGACGACCCTTCGTTAAGGATCGTTAACGACGAGCCTTCGTTAACGATCGTTAAAGACAACCCTTTGTTAGCGATCGTTAACTACGACACTTTCTTAACGAAGAGAGGAAAACGACCTGAAGGGCTCCCCCCCTCACCAATCCAAAATTATGTGAGCATTCTCTGAAAATAAACTTTGTTGCCTTCTTAATTTTAGAAGCGGCGTGTTAAAGCCGAATTTTTATAATTCCATCTTTTAAAAAGATTATTTTGTTATAAGATTATGGTATGATGTAACTAGGAAACTGGAACTAGACAACTTATTGTTAGGTAATTTTACACTTTTCATTTATTTTAAACTTTTTTGTCAGAACTCCCGGAGAGTGAAACTTGTGAACATGTCAGCACATAGCTTCAGTAACTATCAACTTGAGAACCATTACACTCACATTAAAATTGAGATTTAACTCTTAAATCCAGCAAAGTTTTCCATTTTCAATGAGGTATTCAACGTGTAAGGGGGAAATGAATTGGCTGAGCTCTTAGGTCATGCTTTAGTTTTGCCCTTGGCTTTCTGACAATAAGTGACCCTTACTGATAACTCTAATTTTCTAATCCCTATATCTTTGCAACCTCATATCATAAACCCTGTTATTTCAAACTTTGAATTTTGATTTATCTGAAAACTAAGGTTTGAAATACAGGTTTCAAAGATGGTCACGTGATACAGACAGAAATCATGTGACCAGTCTATAAGTATACTGCACTGGATTGGATTTAGTTCTGGTGACGTAATACGGACTATACGACTGTGTCTGTATGTAATAATATTATCAATTACATCTATTAAAAATGCAAAAAGACGGAAAAAATTATAATAGGAGCAAACCTGAGATCATCAGGCTCCTGTGGGATATCGTCGTTTTCAGCTTGGTTGCGTATTTGTTGAATATGATCTGTTTAATACTACAATCTTATAGAAAATTGCATATATATGAAATTTCGTATAAATTTAACACAGTTTTATATCAGTTTCTCGAGACAGAAACATCAGATAGATGTTTTATATGTATCCTTTAACGCCTGAGATTCTCAGGTTTCATCCTATACCCCATTTCATTTTTCCTTTACAGTCCCTTTACTCACAAAAATCCCCCTTGTCCTAGCATATTCAAATATGATTTATTTTGATTTCCTTATTTCCAGAAATTTGAAGAATTTCCTTCAGGTTTAGATAATTTTGGTTTTATTTGATATTTTGAAATCTGAACATAATAAGTCTTTATATCTACGGTTAACTGGAAAGCACAAAAAAGGGCAGATTTCAGGAATTTGAGATTACCCTTTTCAAGATTGATACTTGTAAAAGTTTAAAAGCAGCAAATTATGATAGCCGGACGTTGCACCTTCCTTGTCTTGGCGGCAAATTATTGAAACTCCAGTCAGGACTGGTTTTTTAATACAAGATAATCTCTTAAATATTAGTGTTGATACGAAATAAACTTGAAATTACAGTAATAATATCATTAATAATTTGACAGAAAAATTAATTATTTATTATTTCTATACGATAATTTGAATTGGAAACATCAAAAGAATTTACAATTAGTTTAAATCGTATATTTCTTTCAAGAATTCTTGCCGATTGAGCTGCATGGCTTAGGATCAGTGTAGGTCTTGTCTAGCTTTGAACTCTTTGAAAAGTAGTAACAAGGATTGTTTAATGCGTTTTTATTCTTTGAAGAAAGGGTGTAAGCCACCAACATGTTATTGCCTTACTAACTGAGAGAAACTGAATAAATTTTTTTTTTAAGTTACGTATTTTCTAAAAAAAGTTGAAAAATTCGTTAAAAATGTAAAATGTAAAACTTAAATGTTTATTTAATACTTTCTTCATGGGGAAAATGCCGTTTTTCCTTCATGGGGAAGTTGCCACTTGGGAAATTTTCATTTGGGAAAATGTAAATTTGGGAAGTTGTTGCTTGGAAAATTGCACATTTGGGAAGTTGCCACTTGGGAAATTATCACTTGGGAAGTTGCCCTTGGGAAAATGCCTTTGGGAAAGTACCTAACATCGTATCCAGTACATATCCAATTTAAAACATTATTTGACCTAGGGATGTTTAAATTGATTTTTTGTAGATATTTTTTTTTAAATATGCAAGGTTCGGCAAACCCTATCCGAACATAAAATATGTTAGTTTCAACAAGTTACCAGAACTGGAAAATCAAACATTTGCAGCCAAGACGAGAAGGTGAAACATCCGGCTATCCAAATTATTTCAATGATTACATTTACAGACAATCTTCAAGTCGTCTCTGAACTTTAATGTTCAGTGGGACGCACTGTACATATTTTGGGATACACTGTACATATTTTGGGACACACTGTACATACTACATAGTTTGGGACACACTGTATATATTTTGGGATTCTTTGTACATATTTTGGGACACATTGTACGTACACATTTTGGGACACTTTGTTCATATTTTGGGATTCTTTGTACATATTTTGGGACACTTTGTACATATTTGGGGACACTTTGTACATATTTGAGGACACTTTGTACATATTTTGGAATTCTTTGTACATATTTTGGGACACGCTGTACACATTTTGTGACACACTGTAGATATTTTGGGACACACTGTACACTTGTTGAGACACTTAGTACCTTCAAATCAATTAACAATTCTATGTATAATTTAGTTATTGCCCAAACAGGAGTTTTCATTTACGCGGCATTTTCAATAATTGGAACATTTTTCCAGGTAAACTATTATTAGAAATCAGAGAGCAGGGTTAGTAAGAGGTGGATGGATTGTGGAGGGGGGAGGGGCACGTGGATTTAAGGGTCATGTGAATATTCCAGAAAGCTGTGAATTTCGATCACAATTTAACCCAGTAAACATCATTTTTTAGCCTTTTTTCTGAAATATTTTTTTTGTCGGCATATGCATTTTGGTAAGGATGAGTATAGGGGGGAAGGAGTAGGGGCAAGGATGAGTATAGGGGGGAAGGAGTAGGGGCAAGGATGAGTATAGGGGGGAAGGAGTAGGGGCAAGGATGAGTATAGGGGGGAAGGAGTAGGGGCAANGTCAAAAATACTTCGAAATTCGCGAAAATTTTGAACAAAAATGAACAAATTTCGTACTTTCATTTTCGCGAATTACGTTTAATGAAAAAACACACCCTAGAGACATTGTGCGATATCCATTTCGTCACTGAATTCCCATGTTTATTGGGACACACTGTATATTTTTATATTTTCTAGTCTTTTGGCGCTTTTTATTCACATAATACATAATGGAAAGTAAAATTAAATTTTGATAAGTCTCAACTTTTTCAAGAACAGCAGATTTGTTTGAATTTTCAAAGAATTTTAGGTATTTGTAATTTACAATAGATTTGTTTCAGTTAGAACTACATCTGATAGCTTTCTTAGCGTCTCTTGCAACATTAGTGCAGACGACATTACAAACTATATTCATCCTTGATGCTTCTTGCAGGTAAACATTATATAACAAATATGCTAACAATATGTTAACGATATGTTAACAATATGTAAACAATATGTTAAAAATATGTAACAATATGTTAACAATATGTAAACAATAAGTAAACAATATGTTAACAATATGTTAACAATGTGTTAACAATATGTTAACAATATGTTAACAATATGTTAACAATATGTTAACAATATGTTAACAATATGTTAACAATATGTTAACAATATGTTAACATGTTAGCAATACGTCCCCAGCCCAACAGTTTAAATACGTCCCCAGCCCTACAGTTTAAATACAGTTTAAATACGTCCCCAGCCCTACAGTTTAAATACGTCCCCAGCCCTACAGTTTAAATACGTCCCCAGCACTACAGTTTGAATACGTCCCCAGCACTACAGTTTAAATACGTCCCCAGCCCTACAGTTTAAATACGTCCCTAGCCCTACAGTTTAAATAAAAAATCGTGGAATACAAGAATTTTGATTTCGAACAGTTCTTTTATATTAAATTTTTTTTCTTCAATTTAGTACAGACTGAAAATTCAATAAAATTCTGTTTCCAGCTAAACGTGTGGACTATGAGTATTGAAAATAAAAAGATATTTAAAAAGAATAAGAAAATTAAGCGGTTCACTAGGCAATAATAGTTAAATTTTCTGTTCATAAAATCAAATAAAAAGGTCGTAATTTCAATTTTTTGTGGTTCGATATTAATTTCAAGCGATGTTCCATGTAAAGATGGCAATGCTCGATTCACAACGTGACCCTTAAAAGCTTTGTCTGATTAAGTATTAATTATACATCAATGTTTTTGTTTCTTTAAGCTGTTTATTTTCATTTGCGGTCTCTCTACGAAAGTGACTCGTATGCATTTCTTGCTTATAAGAAGCAACGGAGAAACTCACAGAATCAAACATTTTCCTAGTCAGAAAAACGACGCGGTATCTTCCACATTTTCGATCAGATTAAGGTGTCAAGGGTACCGTTGTTAATCAGAGATTACAATCTTTGAACGGAGGGTCACTTGAAATTACACTTACAGTCCCTTTAAGAACAAAATATTAAAGGTTTCATGCGCAGAACAAAGCTCTTTGTATAATGTGATTATATTTTGTTATTTCTTTATTTTGAATTACAAGGATTATAAAAATATATGGGATATATAAATATTTTTTTTAAATCTAAAGTGTCGGCGTTTATATTAATACGATGAAGACAACTTTTCGATTAAAGTTTTTATTTCTAACAAGTTTTTTGAAACTAAAAAATACCCGTAGACAACAAGAAACTGTTAATTGACAGATTCTTATTGTTTCAATATTTATGTGTATCCATGCTGTTTGAAAACTTTGTAGAAATCAAATTGACGACGACTGTACTTTGTAGGGAAATTAAGAATTTTACTTTATTAAGGGTACTCTTGACCGATTTTGATAAAAAAAAAATGGTCAAGGAAACCGGTGTGGTTAGGAAAATTTTTAATTTCCCGAAAAAGAAGTTGTAAATCATTTTATTGTCTTTTGAGATAAAATTGTGCAAGTTTTTTAATGAAAACTTTGCAGAGCTGGTGGACGTTAAGTAACTTATAGCATCCCTCTGAAAGGGGTAATGTTGGCCAAATGGCCGTAAAAGAATTAAAACAGACTTTTCGACTTTTCTGTACTCTATGCATTAAAAGGTCAAAAAACAAAGTGTCAAAAATCAAAGTGAGAGAGTAAAAAACTAGAATTGGGGAGGGGTGCCGAATTCCCCCCCCCCCCTCCAGCCAATTTATGGTTAAGGGTTCAATACCATCATGTATAATGTGATTATATTTTTTCATTTTCTAATTGAATTCCCTGGATTAAATTAACTGTTCTAGCAAAATGTAATAAAGTAGGGATCCAAGATTTATAGAACTTTTTGCTAACCTATAAAATTGAAAGAAGTCCTATTAGGTAAATTAAAAAGAATTGGAATTTAGTATTACAAATTTTAAAATTCGCTTTTTTGTTGATAAGAGTGTAAAAAAATCGCTTTAAATTTTTTTCATCTTAACACTGTACGCACAGCTTTAGTTTAAAAGAATTAGAATTCTGTTTACAAAACAAAAACTAAGCAAACATTCGCCTGGTTTTAAATATTTAAAGATAACATTATAAACTTGAAAACAACAGGGAAGACGCCTGTTTCCATGCTTCCAAAATATATTAGATTTTCTCATGTAATTTTTTCCCCCTGGATTTACAAGTTTTAATATCACAGATTTTCAATTCGGGTTTCCAAATTTTCGTTCAATCTATTTCGCGAAAATTTAGTTCAGCCAACGAAAATATAAAGGAAAACGAAACATTCGTTCATTTTCGCGAAAATCTACGTTAAAATTACTTCGCGAAAAAGGTGAAATCCGTAAAAATTTTTTTAGAAATTCCTTAAAATTTTTTACCTTTCTTTAAAAATCTTATTTTTCGTAAAAATATAATCTTCTCGACTCGAAATGGAAAAATTTAGATTTTTATCAAATGAAAATTGAACGAAAATTTCGCGAAAATGAAAAACTTCGTCAAAAATACTTCGAAATTCGCGAAAATTTTGAACATAAATGAACAAATTTCGTACTTTCATTTTCGCGAATTACGTTTAATGAAAAAACACACCCTACAGACATTGTGCATGCTATTATTTTCATTACGATTGGGTAAAAATTAAGCCTTTGAAAGAAAAAGTGTGTTTTTTTAAACACCCTTTAATTGGTAGAAAGTTGTAGGTTCTGTAAAAAGATAAATAGATAAAAGAATATTTTTTTTTCGATAAATAATAAACATTTATCTATTAAACAAAATTTTAATTGTCATTAATTGTCTAAAAGAATATTAAAACTTTGCCTTTTCTAAAATTTGATTAAAATTAATTCGAAATCACATTTATTGGTTATTGCTTGATGTGATTTCTAAAAATCCATTTTTAACTTGTCATAAAAAATTTGTTTACTTGCTTTTAAAGGTAATTATGCAAATTTTTAGTGACAAATATGTCTTTACAATACCCAAATTTTATTTTGAAAAGACTTTTTATTTTCCTCCAGGTTTGCCTACACAAGTCTACAAGTAAAGAACAAACCAGGAAGAGAAGTTGTAACATTTTTGCTTGGTAAATATTATTTTTTTATTGTTTATTTTTATGTCTAATGTTTGCGATTAGTCCATTTAAAAAGTTTTGAAGTATTGAAGATGTTAATGCATTTACAACGCACTTTAGATGCTTTTGAATCGTGTTTCTTCATTTTTCCCCTTTATTAATTCCTCGACAATTTTATCAAAAACCCTTTAAACCAATTTTATTTGAAGTCAAGAAATTTAAATGTGATAGATTTCAAGATAAATCGGCCACCTTTAATTTAATTGTTAAAATGAAGATAATAAATAAAGGTTCAGTCTCATCTCTCCAGTTTTGAAAAAATAAAGGAATTGAGTGTTTACCAAAGGCTTAAATTTTCTTATCCTTATATGTTCTGACCCTTTGATGTAAACCATTAATATTTCATCCTTAGATTATTTGATCCACTAAAATTTAAAGTTTAAAATATCTAAGGTCTACGACATTGGGTTGCAAAGATACAGGCATTAGAAAATCAGATTTTGTTGAAAAGACTCAATTCCTTTGGTTGAAAAATAAATAAAATATATTTTTTCTAGTTTGCAATCTTGCAATGTGGTTGATGAATACACTCGAAACTAATAGATCTGACTCACATCCAATACAGGTAATTCAAAACTTTAAGAATTCGATTTAATTTGATTAAATATTTTCGAATTATTTGTTTTCTACAACTTTTATTTTTTATCAAATATATTAAAACTTATAATCATGTTCTCTCACATCGGGAAGTTGAACCCGAACTCTTGGTTAATATTGAGCTGTGTTGTTCGTTCCGCGTTCGTTCCACGTTCGTTCCACGTTCGTTCCACGTTCCACGTTCGTTCCACGTTCGTTCCACGTTCGTTCCACGTTCGTTTCACGTTCGTTCCACGTTCGTTCCACGTTCGTTCCACTTTCGTTCCACGTTCGTTCCACGTTCGTTTCACGTTCGTTCCACGTTGTTCCATGTTCGTTCCACGTTCGTTCCATGTTTGATCCATGTTCGTTCCACATTTTTGCACACGTTTGTTCCATGTTTGTTATATGTTTGTCCCACTTTCGTTTCCACTTTCGTTTCGTACAGCTTTAAAATAAACCACCGTGTTCAGCTTTATAATAAACCACCGTGTTCAGCTTTATAATAAACCACCGTGTTCAGCTTTATAATATACCATGTATACAGCTTTATAATATTCGATGCATAAAGTTTTATTTTATACCATTGCTGTGTGTACAGTTGTACAATATATAATTTGAACAGCTTTAAAATATACCATGTGTTTTATGTACAGCTGTAATTAATGTACAGGTTGAGTTCTACGGAGGAGCTTGGGCTTGGCCAATGATAACTCATATATCAATGCCGTTGGCAATTTTTTACAGGTAACTCAGTTTTTAAACATATCATAGTAAATTAGAGGCACATTTTAGCTCACTTTATGGATATACAGTAGTAGTTGCTGTTTGCCTGTCTGTTTAGGCCGCACAAATTTAGAGTGAAATTCAGCTGTAAATGTTGTCAAATTATAACCTTAGAGCTGTTATGCCATTTGGTTTCATGTTCCAAAAATATTAAATGTTTTTTTAAACACATTTTTATTATGCTCAAAATCCGAACAAAACATAAATGTTTAAAATTTTGTCCAAAACAACGATAATTACAAGCTGTATATTAGACAAAAATATCCCAATTGAGAAAGTGTTAAGTATATAAAAACCTATTTTTGACAGATTTTGGATTGGATATTTTAAACATTTTGAGAAAATATTCCGATACTGCAATCAAAATAATCCACAAAAAAACTATTAATATTAAAAACAAAATAGTTTTTAAATTTCATAAATACGGTCTGTAAAAACTGTACCTTCAAAATTAACTGAAACATTAAGAAATTAACTATACACTGTCACAAACTTCTAGTTTTCTAATGCTTATATCTTTGCAAAATGATGCCATAGGCCTACTTTAACAAAATAATTTTACAAGACCAAAAAGTCAATTTAAAACATCACAGATTAACACAATCAAGTTGCAAGGATATAAGGATTGGAAACAGATATTTAAAAATATCAGTTTTGTTTTCAATAGATTTGAAAATTTCATCCGACTTAAATTTAACCCTTATATCTTGGTTTGAAAAAGTTATACTGAAATAAGGTTCTTAATAAATAAAAGAAAAATCGAAATCTTAAAATTGTTGATCTCAAATCGTTTATAAAACATTATCAAAGTAACTATTAAACTATCATATCCTGATACTTATTTTTCTGAAACCTGAAACATCTCATCAAGTTGTAAAGATTGATAGGAATTAGAAATTTAAAGTTCAAATCTGTTGAAACGCAGTTTAATGTCTAAAACATTTATAAAGGGTTACGTATAAAGCGAATTTTCGCGCAATTTTGTCCAAGCTTAATTGCACTTTTTAGCGAAATTTTTCAGTTTTGGGCGAAAATGAAGTTTGACGAAGTTATCTTGCGTCGCTTATTGTTGTATTCAATTCATTTGTAATTCGTAAACATTCTCTTTAAAACATTCATGGATCAAATATATACAGTTCTCATAAAACCACATGATGTCATATATCAGTTTCATGTTTAGGTTTCATTCTACTGTTTGCTTGTTCGAGATCTGGAAGAAATCTTTCAAATATAAACCAACAAACATCAATTATGTTTAGTCTCAGTATTTTATACTCATTTTATATAATATCAACACCCTGATATTTATACTCTACTGACTTTATACAATATGTTGATTGCCCTATCTATGAAATGACCTTTCTATGTAATGTCCGGTCTACGAAATGTAAATTTTCTACGAAATTTTCATTCTATGAAATGTCCTATCTATGAAAGGTCTATATATGATTTGTCCAAACACTATTCTTTTACGTGTTTCATTTATAATTATTTTTCATTGGCGCTAAATCAAAAATAAAGTAAACAGGCTTTTTCTTACTTTGTAATACCAGGCCAAAAATTTACGTTTGAATCTTGCAATATTTTTGTGATCCATTAAAAGACAAGCATATATCTCTTCCATCTTCTTCTAGTTTTCGCTCTTTTATTATATTTTAAAGAACTGTTTTTTACACGAACAGTTTATTGACAGAATAGATATTTTACCATATTTTTTAGACATTTAATTTTTTTTTCAAGTTAATGTTTTTTTTACACAACTTAACTATAAATAGCAATACAGAACTAAGAAGAAAGGAATATGATTTTACTGAAAGTACACCAACCCATTGTTTACAATAAAACATGTTCTTAAGTTGTCCCACGAAACATTACAGATGGTGAATAGTTTAAAATGTCTTCTTCCTTAACTTGTTTGATACTGGAGAGAATAATAAAAAATACTATATGGAAGTCATACTATATAATAAAATTGATTTTAAAGTAAAATATATTAATTGAGTAAAAGATTTTTTTTACGAAATAACCTGCAAAAAGTCTTGAATATCTAATAAATTGTAAAGAAGATGACATTCAAAACTATTCACCAACTGTCATGTTTCGTGGGACACCCTGTAAGTTACAGTAAATGGAAATAAACCTGATAATTTTTAGTTCTGTAACTTCTAGAATAAACCTTTATTTTAAGCAGAGCTGGGAACTCTAATATTGTTGATAACAAGATCAATGGTTGATCTCGATATTTTGTTAGATCTGAAGATAAATTTAATCTTTATTTGATATTCCGCACGGTAAAAATACCTTGGAGGAATAACTGAAATGAGTAGACAAAGCAATGGTCCTCAAATTAAAAGTGCCTAAAGTGGATATCGAGATCAAAGGATTGGGATTATGATTATTGACCACAAAAGTTCCCAGCTCTGCACACATAAACAATATATACGTATTTACTTTCAATCACATTAATAAATATTTAGAAATAGCTTGAACGCTATAATAAGAAGGTATAAAGAATACAACCTGTTTCGCTATGGGGTTTAGTTCCTTCAAAGATGTGTGTTTTTATAAATAAAAATGTATTATAAAAAGCCAAAACTACATTATAATACTGAAAATGATCATGTTTTTACCAAAATCAAAGGGATTGTTCATGAAGAAAGAACATGATTTTTTAATTCTAAGTAATTTGTTTGTAAAAGTGTCTATTTAATTTTTGTCATTTTATGTCGTATTAAAGATTTGAAATGTCCAATATATTAGTATGAAATTAAATATTTAAATATCTAATTTTAGAATAAAGAACCAGAAATTATAAATCTGCAGCGTAAAATCAATATTGTTCTGCAGACTGCAGTTGTCTGTATCTATGAAACCTAAGATTATAGGATGCAATGAAATCAATATTTGGTTGGTCCTACACACTTCTTAAACCTACGAACAATCCCTTAAACTAATTTTTATCTCTTATGTTAGCTGTTCAATGAAAATTCATATAAATTAACATTTATCATAATTTAAACATAAAGATAATAAATATTCATAATTATGTATAATTTTGTTTAACTTGTTAAATTATTGAAATAATCGTCTTCATAATTTTATCTTATTATAAAAACAAAGCCAGGCCTAAAGGATTTACAATGTAAATCCTTAATAATCAAAAAGTACAATTCATGCTAGGTCATAGCTTTAAAACTTCAAGTTCAAAATTGTAGATGTATGCAAACAAAATATTTTAACAAAATTACTAAATTCAAAACAGTCACTATTAGCATTCACATTTCACAAGAATAGATGTTCATTCTTTTTTGTTCTTTTTGTACATAGTACGCACTATGCAGTGTCCTCATTTTTCATATTTAATATTCTGATTTGGGTCTTTAAAAATTTGCTTGTTAGAAAGAAAAGTTTTTTTAAAGAGATTACGATTATCAGAGTAACACTTTTAAAGTTAATTTTATTTAGAATAGACATAAAACCATAAAGACGAAAACGGAAATTTAAAGGGATTTAGACCAATTTTTTAAATATTTACAACACCAGGTTTCCAATAAAATAAGTTAAGTGACAACTGACTTTCAAAATGTGGTCTGTTGGGGACTTTTTGCAGCTGATTTTGAAAAAAAAATTAAAACTAATTAAAGCTAATTTTGGATAAAGCAGTTAGGGACTACTCTCAGCTCATTAAAAAAAGTAGTTAGGGACTGCTGTCTGCTGATTTTGGAAAGAGTAGTTAGGGAATGCTTCCAGCTGATTATGGAAAGAGTAGTTAAGGACTGCTTCCAGCTGATTTTGGAAAGAGTAGTTAGGGAATGCTTTCAGCTGATTTCGGAAAGAGTAGTTAAGGACTGCTTCCAGCTGATTTCGGAAATAGTAGCTAGGGACTGCTTCCAGCGGATTTCGGAAAGAGTAGTTAGGGACTGCTTCCAGCTGATTATGAAAAGTGTTAGGGACTGCTTCCAGCTGATTATGGAAAGAGTATTTAGGGACTGCTTCCAGCTGATTATGAAAAGAATGTTAGGGACTGCTTCCAGCTGATTATGGAAAGAGTAGTAAGGGACTGCTTCTAAATGATTATGGAAAGAGTAGTTAGGGACTGCTTCCAGCGGATTATGGAAAGAGTGTTAGGGACGGCTTTCAGCTGATTTCGGAAAGAGTAGTAAGGGACTGCTTCCAGCTGATTTCGGGAATAGTAGTTAGGGACAGTTTCCAGCTGATTTTGGAAAGAGTAGTTAGGGACTGCTTCCAGCTGATTTGGGAAAGAGTAGTTAGGGACTGCTTCCAGCTGATTTCGGAAAGAGTAGTTAGGGTCTGCTTCCAGCTGATTATGGAAAGAGTAGTTAGGGACTGCTTCCTGCTGATTTGGGAAAGAGTATTTAGGGACTGCTTCCTGCTGATTTTGAAAAGAGCCGTTAGGGACTGCTTCCAGCTGATTTGGGAAAGAGTATTTAGGGACTGCTTCCAGCTGATTATTTAGGGACTAGCAGTTTGTGACCATAGTTCTGTTACTATTCCTTCCTGTGTTCCAATTATCTGTGTTGATCCTAGAAAAAGAAAAAATTGATAATTAATTTAAAATTCTCTTTATTGGCTTACATCAAATATAAATTTTCGGTTTGGATATATTTTCATATTCTTTTAAGAAAATAACCAATATAATTAATAATTATATAATAAAATAAATGAACAATGCATTGAGACAAATCTGAACAGCATATTCCAAGGTAATATAATATAGTTTGTTCTAGATTAAAAGTAAAATCTGCAAAATGCTCTAAAACAATGCTAGGTGATGCGCATTTAGCAAAAATAATTTAATTTCTATTATCTCTCAAGCTCAACATATTTCTTTTTTTTCTTAAAAGAAAAGAAATCTTGTTCAAAAGATGCTTTGCTTATTTAACTAAACTGTTCTTGTGAATTCTTTAAAAAGAATCAGCCATTGTTAAAAAAAAAATTGAGCCTTAAGTTTTGAAATAAAGGTGCAAATCAGTTCACAATAGAGTTAAACAAAGGAACTGTATTTTTCTAGAAATGTTTGCGTGTCTGTCTGTGTGTCTAACATTTTTTTATTGTTGTAAAATTTTGAAAATGCGCAAAAAAATGTTATTAAATCCGCGAACTTTTTTGGTTTTTGTTTTATTTTGTACAAAAAGAAGATGCTCACAGATAGAGCCACAATTAAAAGACGATCTAAAAGCCTAGTTCCTAAAAAAAGTAATATTCAAAGGAAAGACCGCTTTTTCATCTTTTATGTTTTCAGTTCTCAAAAGTTTAAACCTATAAAAATGTCATAAATCATGTAAAATTCACAGCTTTTGGCAATTTTAATAATTTTTTTCTAAATCTGAAAACATATCTTTAGCTAGTTTGCGAATTCGAGAGGGAGGGACATTTTAAACATTTTCAAAAAGAATAAAGTTTTTTCGAAAACAAATTTCAAAGGAAAACCAGTCATCCGGAGATTAAAGAGATTAATGTATTTTTTCACACTAAAAAAAATGAAAAATTCAATTGAAGTATGATGTTTTTTTCACAGTACAGTAGGGTACAGAATTGCCTTCAAGATCTTTAAACTGACCCTGAAGTGAATCTGTATTAAAAGAAATAAACCTTTCAATAAAAGACGCCATTGAACAAATTTATTGAATTTGAAATGAAGATTTCCAAGTTATTTCTCCTCTGTCGACATTATTTTATAACACACTGCCGATCCTGTCCTAAAACTTTTTAGTTTTGTTATCTTATTTGAGGAAATTAAAAAGTATGTTTATAATAACTTCTTATTTATTTTCAATCGGCGGATGGGGGGGAGGGGGAAGGGCAGTTTACTATAAAGTTTGTCTAAGACTGTTCAAACTGGCTTTCATTAAAGAAATCAAAAATGAATTTAAGCAATTTAAGATTTTATGAACATTTTTATGGTCAAGGACACGTTAAACTTTCGCTAACTTTTTAGTCTAATAAGAACTACTAGCTGATGGGCCGGCATTGCCCATGGGAAAAAAACCCGATTTTTTTTAGCCTATATCACCCCCTGGCCAACCCATGAGTGTCCGCAAAAAAAATTCAGTCCATTCGGTCCAGCTGTTTGGCCAGCTATAGGCAACATATATATATATAAAAATAAATGTCTTGTTAATTATTATCTAGATATAGGCTGCACTAGGATAAAAGTTCAGATTACGTTAGTTGTTTACAAAAAATCCTTTAAATTACCCCCTCGGCCTGTTTAGGCTTAAAATTCGCTGATTATTTTAAATGGTTTGTACACACTGCCCAATTCCTGTGTCTTGTGTTCATTAAACAACTTAAATCATATCACAAGTCGTCTTCTTATTTCACAGTTTCTGATGCTTATTTATAGATAGTGAAAAAATGCGAAATGCGTGATGCGAAAATTTTATGAAAACCATGAGTTATAGCTGCAACACTTAATTGCTCAAAAGAAGTTGTGGAATTCTCTGCTCGAGATAGCTCAATATTTGAAATTTTATTATGTCATATAAATAATTTCTCTTCCTTACTTTAATAAATGTTTGATTTGATTTCACTAGCGCTATATCTTAAGTTTCTGTCTGTCTGTCCACAATACATACCTTCAACGTTCAATTTTTTTTGCGAAACAGATTAAAGCGAAATTTCGCGAAAAAAACAAAAAAAATTTCGCATCTTTCGTGAGCGAACGAAATGCGAATATGAAGCGAAATGGTCGCGAATAATGCAAAATTTTGGCAAAACGATTTTTCCTTTTCGCTGGAAACCCTATTTTTGCGTAATTACGCGCAACGGAATTCCGAATGGAAACTATATGGTCTCTGCTGTTATGCTACTGCACGATTGCTATTTTTTGTTCATAGCTCTATTCAATTACTTGAAATTACAATTACAGTCCCTTTCAGTTTAATTGGTCTATTTAGTCATGGCCCTGCACGATGATGCTGTTTTTATGTTCATAAGACCTATTTAAGATCATTGAGTCTAAAAGTCGTGTTCCTATATCACAGGTGTATTGGATCCACTGCATTACCTGACAGCTGAGGGTATATTTTGATTAATTTGATTAGAGTTGGTTGGTTTACAGGTGGAACATTGCCAGAACGTGTCCCTAAAGGTTTCTCTGAATTGCCTAAACAGTATAATGATTGGTACTAATTTTGCGTAATTACGCCTTAATTATGCAGAACTAGACTTTTTTTCGTATACCTAATTAACACATAATTTTGTGTAATATTTCATTGTCAAGCCGTTAATTATTTTGAGCTGGCTTAGATCTTTAAAAATAGATACACATATATTTATATCTGTAGATATCCAGTCGTTGTTGTATAAATCAATACAATGAAGACGACTTTCGATTTAAATTGTTAAGTTCTACCAAGCTTTCAAACTGCATGGATTCACATAAACAGCTTCTATTTGTTAACTTAAAAAGATTAAAACTTAAATATAAAAGTCGTTTTCATTGTGTTAATATAAACACCGAACACTGTACACTGTTTAGCTATGAAATCGTAACTTTCTTTTTTTGATCTGCCCCTGAAAGTTTCTCTACATTTGTGTGTAACCCCTGCAAGCCATGTATTGCCAGAGAAGGGATTTTAAAAGCTTAAACCCGAGTAAAACTCAAACTCGGGCTTGGATAGAACCCAAGTCAGGATTGGTTCTGATTCGACCAATGAGAGATCGTTTTTCAAGCTTTCTCTCTGTAGCAGACAGAATACTGTCAGATCAGCTGTAACAAGGAGATGTAAATTTCGAAATTCAAACTTTATGTAGATAATTCATTTTCATAGTATGTTTATTTTATATAATTAATAAAATTTGACACCACAAATAATTCCCGAGATTTTAAATGTACAAATAAAAAAGATTTTTCGAAATAATTACGATCATCAGCTGCTGAAGACTAGTCGAGCCTTAAAGAGAGAAAACCCCTAGATGATTGGTTCTTACTAAACTCAAGGCCACCCAAAACCCGGGTCTTGACTTGAGCTTTACTTGGGTCTAAGCAAACGCAAAGGCCGGGTTTTACTCGGGTTTAAGCTTTTAAAATCTCATATCTGAACTGCCGACACTGTAAACTAGTTTTAAATGTAAATAATAAATAAATAAAATGTTTGTGACCCAGATAGAAAGGTTTCCCTGTTAAGCTACATTGAGGTAAGTATTTTTTTAAGTCCCTGGTCTGGTAATATATTTTTATTACAGGACTATTTTAATTTTGATTTTCATCACTGAACATATATATATATATATACCTGGACATGCCACAATGTATTCCAAAATTAATGGAGTACCTGATATATATAGATATATATACCTGGACTGGACATGCCGCAATATATTCCGAAGTTGATGGGATAGCTGATATATATACATATATATACCTGGACATGCCGCAATATATTCCGAAGTTAATGGGATAGCTGATATATATACATATATATACCTGGACATGCCGCAATATATTCCGAAGTTGATGGGATAGCATATATATATATATATATACCTGGACATGCCGCAATATATTCCGAAGTTGATGGGATAGCTGGCACAGATGGTTGTGTTAAGGATAAGAATGGTGTATCGTATCTTCTCATAGTCCAGGAACTCATACAGACTGTAGAAGACGACTGTTAGACTCAAGTTATGACGTGATTAATAAAAAAATAAAAATGAAACACAAAATAGTTTCTGCTTTACATAATAAAAATATTTTTAAGCTGCTCGTAAACAATTGGAGTTATAACAGCATCAATTACACATAAGATTGCTTATTGTACTATGCAGTGTGCATATTCCTCAGGTTCGTGGGGCTCACTGTGTATGTATATATCTGTATAATAGAGCTCTTCGCTCATATATATTCGTATGTTATATGTTATCTATAGCCGGCCAAACGGCTGGACCAAATGGGCTGACATTTTTTACCTGTGAGTACCGGGGGGGGGGGGGGGGGGGGGGTTAGCATAGGCTTAAAAATAAACAATACTTTTTTCTCTAAAAAATTTGGAATATTTTTCCACAGGCAACGCCGGGTTCTTCTGGTAGCATATGTATATATGTGTATACTGGTTGTGATTATAAACTGGATTAACATGACTATCCTCTAGTTTTCTAAATTCTTTTGATGAAACTTTTCTTATAATTAAACTGTGGAGAATAACCAGTCCTTGTCAAAATAAAACTTTTTCACTTTTCTCACTTTTAATTAGTTTTTTGTTGTTTCATTTTCCTTTATAAGTTTATACTGTGAGACTACAGTGTGAAGTTTACAGAAATAATTAACTCCTATTGTAGACCATAAATCTGATTTTAGACCATTTCCAAGAAATGTCGTCTTAACCAGTCCAAGTCCAAACCAAACACTTTCGCCGACCCTACCTCTTACTCTCCGACAAAGGAAACAATAAACAAAGAAACGTTTTACCAATAATTAAGAATAAATCCATAAATAACTTTGCAATCCATAGTAAATTCCACTTAAGCAATTCTTTCCAGTAAGGTTAACCAGTGTAGATTCGACACAACACGTTTTATGTAAAAAATCTAGCATGGAAAGATCACAGTGTATATAGTGTGCAGTGCGTATGTATAACTTGAGTGTGTAGCGAACAGTGTGCAGTGTACAGTGTGCAGTGTACAGTGTGCAGTGTGCAGTATGCAGTATACAGTGTGTACTGTGTATATATACCTTGAGTGTACAGTTTGCAGTGAACAGTGTGCAATGTACAGTGTACCGTGTGCAGTATACAGTGTACAGTGTGTATATATACTCGAGTGTACAGTGTGCAACGTACAGTGTACAGTGGGTAGTGTGCAGTGTACAGTGCACTGTACTGTGTGTAGTGCGTAGATATACCTTGAGTGAACAGTATGTAGAACTGTTATGACCATGAAAGGTATCTCTGTAGCCAGGAATACAAGGATGACGACAAGTAACATTAAGCTCGTCTTCCGCGCATCACGTTGCCGCTTGTTCTCTCGGTGCATTTTCTTACTAAAATAAACATACAGTGTTACCCAGAAAGGATGAGGCTGCAGAGACGACCTGATACTTTGATATTATGACGATCCGAAGGTTAAATTAAATCTTCTGCCTTGAATATAGTGTATAAAGTATGGCTGCAATTGAACATATTTTAGTGTTTAGTTATTATTACTCGGACTTTGAACCCAAGCCGGAGTTTAGTTGTCTGTTTGAAAGTTAAATATAAACCCAAGCCGGAGTTTAGTTGTCTGTTTGAAAGTTAAATCTAAACCCAAACCAGAGTTTAGTTGTCTGTTTGAAAGTCAAATCTAAACCCAAACCGGAGTTTAGTTGTCTGTTTGTAAGTTAAATCTAAACCCAAACCGGAGTTTCGTTGTCTGTTTGAAAGTTAAATATAAACCCTAACCGTGGTTTAGTTGTCTGTTTGAAAGTTAAATATAAACCTAAACCGGAGTTTAGTTGTCTGTTTGAAAGTTAAATATAAACCCAAACCGGAGTTTAGTTGTCTGTTTGAAAGTTAAATATAAACCTAAACCGGAGTTTAGTTGTCTGTTTGAAAGTTAAATATAAACCTAAACCGGAGTTTAGTTGTCTGTTTGAAAGTTAAATAAAAACCTTAACCGGAGTTTAGTTGTCTGTTTGAAAGTTAAATATAAACCTAAACCGGAGTTTAGTTGTCTGCTAGAAGTTTGAAGATAAAGCCAAGTTAGAAGGTACCGTTAAAACTCGAGATAGCGGGTAGGCGGAACAGATGATAACATGCCTCATATTATTTTTTTGTCTTCCAGATGCCATGAGCCACAACCGTAAGGTCTTCCATGCCACAGTCTTCTGGCAGTTATAACGTTTTTAAATAATAAATTCACTCCATTGAAATTGTGATTTTCAAAAATCCAGCGACGTCATGCAAAAGATATATATTTATTAAGAACTTTATATTTAAAATTCGGTGATGGTAATTGACCAAACCTATGTAGAGAAAAAAAGTAGATGTTAGTTCCACGTTTTATTGAAAATATATTTCGGTCTAGGTTGACCCTTGTCAGTTCTTGAGATTGTTTCGGTCATGAAGATTAAAAATTGAAATAATGACATTTTCTTTTAATGTAAACTGCTAATCTTATTTTCCCCCAGAATGAATTAAATTTTTCCTCTAAAATGGCTTATTTTTGAAAACATTATGAACAATAAAAATGATGCACCATAACATACTCATAAAGTTCAAAGGGCGCCCTTACCCGAAAATGTGCACTATTTAACGAGAAAATTGCAAAATAGAACTTTTTTTGAGGAAATCTGTAACGCTCAGGTAATGAAAGTTAATGTTGTGATTTTTCTCTTCTTTCTTCTTTTCTTATTATTCAGACTACCCCAAACAATTTCTCTTTGTACCCACAATGCTTAAAATGATGTAAAATTTTCATTATATAATTTAAAGCACGAGTTTATAAACTGAACATGCAATTCATTGATCTTTAATAAACTTCTAAAATTTCTTAAAGGTTTGATCTATCGCCTAATGCGGCAGGATTTTTAAAAATTATTATTTCAATGCCTCAAATTTATCATATAAAAACGTACTAACTGCCGGAAGACTCAAATGCTGTGGCATGGAAGTCCGTACGGTTGTGGCTCATGGCTGCCGGAAGACAAAAAAGATAATATGTGGCATGGAAGGGGGAAATGATGTGGCTTACAGCCGTCTGCCTTCCCCGCTCGTATAAGACCCATTTCACAATTAAGTTGTTATTGGCATGCTTTTAAGCAACATCAAATACACATAAGATTGCTTAAAAGTCGTCTTTTTATTCCACAGTTGTATGGGTCTCACAGTAGACTTTAAAAGAAATCTAAAATAAATTTTTAGAAATTTTGAATTTAATGTTTGAAAATGTTTATACGAACCTTTCCTTCCTTCTGCTCCTATGATGGAATATTCTCACCCTAGCTTCGTCCTCTTCTGTTAGAATATCACTCAGAATTCTAAATTATTAAATTAAAAATAATTACATCATGAAGATGGAGTCCATCTATATATATTCTTCTAACACGCCCTAAAAAAAAAGCTAATGAAACTAAAGACAAGCCTCGCAAATTGCTAAATCTGTGAAAATGTGTTTGAAAAAGCAGAAAATTGTTTTTTTATGTGTTAAATTCTTCAAGAGTGACCCTAACTTTATCAAGAAAAATTTAAGTACATTAAACGTTATATTGAAACTTAAATATTTTCAATCTAAATTCCTTTCATTTAAGAGCTGTTGAGAAAAACAAATCTTTTTTAATTTGTAAATAAATTTTTGTTTTTCAAACTGTACGTAAAATTAAAATTAGGGGAGCTACAGGGTAACAAGGTTGTAACCGTAACGTAAGCTTTTAAACTTTAAAAGGAGTGTTCGCAAAAAATGAAAGGGGGTATAGGCTTAATGCGATAAAAAAGCGCTTTTGATCGCTACTAATCTTTCTTCTATCTGTTGTGTCTATAAGTTGTGTCCGATCCTTGAAAATAAATACATTTTTTAAAAATATGGCGACGTTTGGGGCATAAAACATGACTAGAATAAAGTTTTCCAAAGATTTTGAGATGTTGGAATCTTCAAATCCACGAGAATGATGTCAAACATTATTTAGGTTAAAAANCTTCCCTGGGCACGATCGGTTCAGCCGTTTTGACGTTTATCGTTTACAAATAAATAAAAAGACAGTTAGAAAATCAAGGTAAATGTATAGATGAAATCCTACGTTCTCTTGGATGAGAGCATCCTGTTCCTTCTGTTCTCCACCCTGAACATCTTCTGGGTGAGGAGGATGGTGAGGATGGTCAGCAGGATGCAGGGAACCAGGTGCACAAATACAACACGGAACCTATATAAATTATACTTAAAGGGACTGTTGACCTATTTTCAAGTGATTCTACAATCTACATTTAAACAGCAGCATATTTGATTCACATCGATACCAATTAAAGCTCTGACTGACCAAGAATAAGTTTAGAAAATTTATTATCCTAATTGCTGCTTCTATATAAAAGTGACTTGCAAGTTGCGGTTGCAGATTTATATGCTACCGAATAAAAGGAGAAAATTCTTAGAATTGAACACATTTTAGGCTAGAAAAGCGATAATATCTTCAAAGATATTGATCAGATAAAGGTTTTAAGGATATCAATGTAAATCTTTTAATTTAGGGTCACTTGAAACTACGTGTACAGATATATAGGGTCACTTGAAACTACGTGTACATATATTTAGGGTCACTTGAAAATACGTGTACATATATTTAGGGTAACTTGAAACTACGTGTACAGATATTTAGGGTTGGATTTATATAATTTATATCGAGTTAAGCACAGTTTAACCCAGAACTATGAGGAATCGAAAGAATTTATGAAATGTCGTTTTCTAAATCTACTTTTAATTGAATGTTTTAGATATTTAGGTTTTAAATTGTATAATAGCTCCTTAAACCTGTTACGGCATTTATCATAGCTACTTTTTTATATTTACAAAAATATACAATATACAATAATATACAATATATATACAATACATGATACAACCCATTACAAAAATGTCAAGACGACATTTTTAAGATTATTTTTAATTCTCCGAAATTCTGGGGTTAACTGTAGTTGAATTTTACTAAAGAGAAGCAGATTTTTTAAAGTAAAACCCTTTCGCATAATATCGAACGTTAGAAATGATTTTGTTTGTGAGATATCCCATAACATATTGTTCAAAATTTCTATAATTTTGGAAGTTTGATATAACAAACAATAGTGTCTAGATTGATTTTACTTCACTACCTCACGTATTTTTTATTGTAGCCCTAGACATATACATTTTAGAGCCATACATCTTTTGTTTTTGCGAGAGAGCTTTGCAACCTTTGGATCACTGTGTTCTCCCATATACTTTTGGTCCCACTAAAGAAGTAGTTTAACGATACATATCTAGTGGAACTTCTTGCACTTTGACCAGCCATACCCTTGTAATGAATGCCTTACTCCAATAAATAGTTTTAGATCCGTACCAATCCAGGTATAACCTTCCATATTCTCAGGTATCTGTTTTACAAGATACAACTCAATCCCGAACTCAAAATTCCTCAATAATACCTTTGTCAATATCAATCTGGATACGACTCTATCTGTATTCTCAGGTATCTGTCTTACAAGATACAACTCAATCTCGAACTCAATGTTCCGCAATAATACACTAGTCAATATTTATCCAGATACGACTCTATCTGTATTCTCAGGTATCTGTATTACAAGATACAACTCAATCTCGAACATAAAGTTCCTCAATAATACCTTAGTCAATATCAATCAGGATAAAACTCTTTATATATACTCAGGTATATATCTCACAAGATACAATTCAATCTTGAACCCTAGGTTCCACTCTCGTTTTCGCTAAACGAGGAACAAATTATTCTCACACCCTAATCAAAGCAGAGTATTATTCCAACTAATGTGTATTATGGGTTCTATGATACATGTTAGATTAATGAACGTAATTACGTAGGTAAGATTAAGTCGTGATTACAAGTATTACATGGTTGCCTAAAAGGGTAATTAATTAATAATGAGCTTAATTGGATTACAGAACATGTACAACGTAATATTTATATATAAGCATGTTCAGGTTTACAGACAGACAGGGTTTACCATGATATTTATTACACCTCTTCCCAATGGGGTCATGTGAGTTGCCGAAAAAAATTGGGCATGATCGGTTTAGCCTTTTTAACAAACAAACAGTCAGACAAACAAAGTAAAGAAAAATAGCCTACCAGTAGAACATGTTGAAGTATACATCCAATGAGAAAAGTTTAACCCAGTTTGAAACTTCAACCTGACAAACATCCAGGGGTTCTCCAGGGGTCTCCAGGCTACCTAAATAAACAAAATTATATATAAAGGGATTGTTAATCTTTTTCAAAGTGCACATTATAAGACGATCTTTATATTTTTAAAGATTTTTCTGAGAACCAGAATGCCCAAAATTATCTGTCTGATGTTCATTTGGTAAATCGCAGTTTAATTTTGAATTTCGCGGAATTTTTCGATACTTGAACTTCAGCTTCCACCGAAAGAAAATTTTTCCCAAAATTGTACAATTCAGCGCTTACCGTAAGCAAGAAAAATTGCGCTAAAATTTAGAAAGTAACAAAATGCAAAGTATCGAAAAAATAGTGTTTCAGCTATATTTAAAACTTCGGATTTTTTAAAGATTTACCTAGGGTTTGTATTGAGTATGTTTTATCGAATAGCCTTGGAAGGATATGAAGGAAGGAGAGGGATAGAACCAAGAAGACTGATATTCTAGCGATGGACAGAGTGCACCACTGTTTCACCAGATGGGACCGACAGATGTAGATATATCTCTGCAGAGCCAGCACTAAACATTTTTTATCAAACTAGCTGAACTGCCTGGTAATGACATTGCCCGTGGAATTAAAAAATCTACTTTCCTAAAAAATTGTTTCAATAAAAAATACGATTTTTGAAAAAAATGTACGCTATTTTTGTCCAGCTGTTTGGCCAGCAATATTGTTATAAATATGAATACAGGGTGTCTCAATAAACGTGGAATAAGGGTCTGAAGATTCATTAGTAATCGGATTTTGAAGAATGAGATTTTTTTTTAAAATCTTTGTACAATTTTTGATTTAATGAGTCCAATTTTAGGTTTGTTGATCTAAAAATGGCAATTTTATAGGCTTCTAAAGATTCCAACTGCAGAGTAAGTAAATTTGGTAAAAACAAAAATAATCTTTGTTTGCACAATTTTTATCATGGTCTACAGTTTTCGGATTTTTAAAATTGAGACCGTTTTAAATATCTAGGTAAAATATAAGATTTATTAAGTGCAATATCAGGCTTGTAATAGATCTAAAAATAACAATTTTGTAGGCTTCTAAAGCGATAATTTTTTTTTACAAACTTGAGGTCAACATTAGGAGAGAAATGGCCCTGCCCTGGACTCTGCTGTCTCTTAAAAGGCTTTTTGAAAGTTAGATAATTTGAGCCCAAAAGTGTCTTGCTGCTAACGGTGGAAGTTTTGCGCAAATTTCTCCCCCCTCCCCCTAGATTTATTTCTTTAAAGGCCCTTGGACGTAAAAATCAAAAATAGTCTCAATCTTGAAAATCCGATTACAAATAAGTCTGTAGACCATTATACAAAGTTGTTTAAACCGAGATTATCATTATTTTTACGTTTACTATATAACTCCATTTGGAAACTTTAGGAGCCTATAAAATTGTTATTTTAGATTACCAAGCAAAAAGCTTTTTTATATAGATTCCAATGAGTGTGAACGGGATTCTATATGTAATTCACTGTAAACTCAGGTTCATTTCAAGTACCAAACCAGAAGAAGCTGTACAGTACAAATACAGACTATGTAAGGCAAACAGGACGGTGCAGCAGATGAATCGATATTAGAGAAATACTTTTGCGTTTATTGACTGCATGCCATTTAGAAATGCTCATCCATCACTTTTCTTTTACCTAGAGTTAGCCAGATAGAAGCAGTGTGAAACATCTGTTACCTAGAGTTAGCCAGATAGAAGCCGTATGAAACATCTGTTACCTAGAGTTAGCCAGATAGAAGCCGTATGAAACATCAGTTACCTAGGGTTAGCCAGATAGAAGCCGTATGAAACATCAGTTACCTAGGGTTAGCCAGATAGAAGCCGTATGAAACATCAGTTACCTAGGGTTTGCCAGATAGAAGCCGTGTGAAACATCTGTTACCTAGAGTTAGCCAGATAGAAGCCGTGTAAAACATATGTTACCTGGAGTTAGCCAGATAGAAGCCGTGTGAAACATCAGTTACCTAGAGTTAGCCAGATAGAAGCCGTGTGAAACATCAGTTACCTAGAGTTAGCCAGATAGAAGCCGTGTGAAACATCTGTTACCTAGAGTTAGCCAGATAGAAGCCGTGTGAAACATCTGTGGAAGGATCTCTAAGCAGAGTTCGAAACTGTAGCAGAGATTGATGTTTGAGTACAACAGGTCCTCATGTTTTCCTAGGGTGTACAACCAGAAATACCTGAACAAGTACATCGTATTTAATTGTACTGTTTTGTACTGTTTTTAATTTAGTACACTACACTGTACTATAGTGCACTGCACTGTACTTTACTGTACTGTACTACACTGATATTAAATGTACTGTAATAAACTATACTGTACTACTGTACTGTACAACTGTACAGTACAACTGTACGGTACTACTGTACTGTACTGTATTGTACTGTACTGCACTGTACTGTATTGAGTACAAACTGTAAGTAATTCCTGAAAATTTGAGGTTGACACATCTTAAAGGAAAAATAAAAGGGGGTATAGGCTGAAAACTAACTTACTTAGGAGTTGTCGAAACCCTTGCGAGTTCTATCATATTTATGCACTTTACCTTAGTTATTAATAAATAGGGATAATCTATTCCTTAGTTATTAATAAATAGGGATAATCTATTCCTTAGTTATCAATAAATAGGGATAATTTATCCCTTGTTATCAATAAATAGGGATAATCTATTCCTTAGTTATCAATGAATAGGGATAATCCATTCCTTAGTTATCAATAAATAGAGATAAACAATATGACATGCTACACTTATTACTTAACTTTGTATTCATGTGCAATACTGCAGTGCAAAAATTCCATTTTTTCGTATTCATGGGCATTACACAATTACATGCAAAAATTCTGACTTAAACTTCGTATTCATGCAAAATTTCGTGCAAAAAAAATATTTATTTCGAATGAATGCACAATTTCGGGTAAAACTAGTTTTGTATTGATACGAAAATGATGCGAATTTTCGTGCAAAACCACGAAACTGTTGCGCAAGAGAATCTGCTGTTTCGTGGAAACCCTAGTTCTTTACAGCCCCTTTAAATTCTTTAATTCGCTATTAAAGTTGAAGAAGTGCTACAGAAAGTAAAAAACATTTTAATGAAATTATGATGTCACATATCAATTTTTTTTCGTTTTTAAGCATATATTTTAAAAAGTTGGTAATCCGCGGACACCTTAATGTACATGATAATATGGTATAATGTACAATATGTACATACCAGGGTCCAGGGATCAGGATTGTGAGTAGATCGCAGAGAGCCATGGATAGAAGTATTATGTTTGTGGCAGACTGCATGTGAGACCTGCAAAGAAAAATATTTTAAGAATGGATAGATTAACATCGCTTATTGAGTAAAATTTGGAAGGATGGAATTGTTGAAGCATTCCTTGAATTGAACACATTAATCTCACCAGAAGGAGTTGATTCATTTTGTGGTATTTTCCCAGTATTAGTGATGTGTATTTGGTTTATTTTTGGGCATGTATTTTCTCGTAAGATAAGAAAATGTTTTTTTTAAGTTGTTTATTTGCTTTTCTTACACTATGCTGACAGAAAAAAATATGCAAAATATGAACCAAAAACAAAATCTATTCAAAAAAAACATATGCTATAACAAATCATTTTAAATAGTTTTTACATTTTTTTGGATCAAAGTTTCAAAGTTTTAAAAAACAAAACTCTTAATGAGACACTAACCTTGTAAGTACGAATATGATGAAACTGTTGGCAACTACAGTGAGTATGAGCAGGCCCGGCATGACAGTACCGTACAACGGGTTCATCAGCTCAGGTGGGCCGAGCCAGTTCGAAGTGTTCATGATGTAACAGCTGCCATCCAGTAAACATCTAAATTAAACAGGTATATAGATATATAGATTAATTTGGTTGTCTAAGCAGTAAGCATACTTTAAAGTTTCAACCAAGTTAAAGCTATATCATTTTACTCATAATCTCCTGTATAATCTATATCAAATCAAACCAAAATATTGCCACTCATCAGGGAAACATAATCAAGATGTTTCAGTTTTTAAAACTGTATTTTGAGAAAATAACATGAAAAAAAACTATTTTTTTATTTTAAACAAACTTTGTAAACATTAATTGCCAAGACCTGGTCCACATTCACTGCCGTGCCACATTTAAAGCCAGTCCAATATATAAATTTCTAATATCTATAATTGTTGTAAACATAAATGAACTTACTCGGTTATTTCTGAACTATTTTGAAGGCCAAGACTATAGTTCTCCTCCATGTCTGAAAAAAAGGAAAAAATTTGAACCCCCAGAAACCAATATTTTTTTAAAACATGCAACAGTGGAGTTCTACTTTCCAGTTGTCTTGGTAGATGTTTTTTATTGATAATGTTGCATCAAGAGTGTATATTTTATAGATCTAAGGCCGAATTTTAAGAATTTAAGCTGCAGCCTAAATTTTAGACGCGGTAGAAATATAGTTGGTTCCACATGAATTGTATTCAATGTTATATGATTCAAGCCGTTGCTCAATTGACACTGTTTATTAGAGGATTTGAGACGCGGCTCAAATTCATTAAATTCGAACTCTGGAATAACAAATCAAAATTGGACAGTAGAAGGCAAGTTTTTTCATGATTTTCATACTTTTTACTAAAAAATGTATTTATTTTCCTCAATTCAGCGAACAAAACTCTAAAACAACTCTGCTCCATGTAAGCATATCTAACTTTGGAGATACAATTATTTTCAATTTTTCAAAACAGAGGGGGGGTGATTTTTCCAGAGAATATACACTTCTGTGAGGCTGTGTTATCACAAGGAAGTTTAAATCTAACGGGAATAAGTTTAATTAAAATGTTTAACTTCACATTATTATTTATTCAATTAGTTATTTTATCTATTTATGTCATTGTAATGGGTATTATTAAGTGCGAAAAAGTTTTTGCCAGGATTTTTATTTTTTCTAGTTTGTTTTTGATCAAAATAAAAGTATTTTCATTTTGATCGAAAACAAACTGGAAAAATTAAAAATCACAGCAAAATCTTTTTCGCACCCATTTCAATAACCTATATAGTTTTATTCCATTTTACTCAAATTATTTAAAAGCAAGTCGATAAAGTTACTTAATCACCCTGTTGTAGGGGGATTAAGTAACTTTATCACCGTACAATGAGAAAAATTAGTTATACAATTTGAAATTTTCATAGCAGGGTGGAAAAGTTACTTTTTCGCCCTGTTGTAGGGCGGTAAAGTCACTTAATCACCCTTCAACGGGAAATATTAGGTGTGATAAATTCAATCAAAATTGAATAAATTTATATATTCACTTATTTATTTATTTATTTTTGTTTTTGGGAGAACAATACAAAACTATTCTGCCAAAACTACATTTCATTTTGTCTTGGAAACAAACATATGAGGCTGAGAAGTGAAAAGAGGACGAAGAAATTGAGGAACAAGGGGTGTACCTGGCATTGTAAAGAGGGACCCAGGGCCGTCTAACTCTGGGCTCATGAGGAGCTTCTCTTCAGAATTCTTCGAACTTTTTATTCAAAAAATCTGAAATTGATTTATTCGTAAATCTTTTGTAAGTTAATGCCAAACAATTCAACAAAATTAAAATATAGAAAAAATCTGGAGTCAAGTGCGGATGAATTTGCGTTTTAAGTTTATCGTTATTAAGCACAGAGTCTTTAATAAATTAAACCAACAGAAAATGTCATGGTCTCATGTTTTTTTTTGCAAGTTCGCAAAAATTAATTTTTTTTTTACAAATTATTTTTTCAATTGTCGGTTACATAAGTTTATATTGTCCTCGTCACACGTCAAGGCCAGGGAAATAATGTCGATTTAGTAAGGAGGGGTAATATTATACAAAAAATAAGATCATATTAAAATAGTGGTCATGTAAAATCTTGCATGAAACCAAATATTCAATATTCAATATCCAACATTTTTGATAGACAGAAAAGTTTTCAGCAGAGTTTAGAACAAAAATTTTCTTCCGTTGCAAACATTTTCCGCTGCTGCTTATCCTGACTTAAAGGGACTGTCAGCTTGGGATGTTAACGTTTTCATTTTTTTTTTTAAACGATAGTTTCGTTATGAAAACGACGACAAAAAATCGAAAACGCGTTTTTAAAAACGATCGCTTTTTAAAATTTTTTTAAAATGGTCGTTTTTAAAACGATCGTTTTTCAAAATGATCGTTTTTATAAAACTCGTCGTTTTGTTAACGATTGTTAAAGACAACCCTTCGTTAACGATCGTTAAAGAAGAGAGGAAACCGACCTGAAAGGCATCTGTACTTATCATTGAGTACTTTTTAAGAAAATATCAAGAAGTTTTAGCTCCCCCACAACTGATTAACTTCATTAAGACGACAATCAATAAAGTTGCATGTATTTTTTTTTCTCAAAAACGATAGTTTTCACAAAAACGACCGTTTTTATAAATGTTCGTCGTTTTGCTAACGATCGTTAACGACAACCCTTTGTTAACGATCGTTACGGACGACCCTTGGTTAACGATCGTTAACGACGACCCTTCGTTTACTGCATCAAAATATTCCGGTTTGTGTTTGTAAACGAGGAGCATCTCCGGATATCTTATTGATACTTGATCACAGTCAAGTATGAATAAGAAATGATCCTGATCATGAATGAATCAGATGCCATTTTGTTGTTGTGGACAAAGCGTTCAAGGGTACTGTTACTGTGTAACCGGCAAAAAAGTTCTTGGAAAAAAGTTTCCGGAAAAAAGTCCTAATATTTCACACTCAGAAAGTCCTGTGGCAAAAAAGTCCTTTTATTAAAAAGTCTGCAGAAATAAAGTCCTACCAATTCGAGACTTTATTTTCTAGGACTTTTTTCTGGCTCCAGTATGAATTTATACAAAAATGTCCTAGGAAAAAAGTCCTATAGTAGAAAATGCATGGGAACAAAGGATGTTTAAAACCATGCAAAAAAAGGGGCAATTGATACACACAAGGATGGCTATATTCCAAAGTACAGATTCATAAAAAAAATCTTTTTTTTATGAAAAAGTCTTAGACTTGACCTTATTCTCACAAGATTTAGAACTTTTTTCTTGGTTTTTTTTTCTTCGGATATATTTTCATTAGGACTTCTTTTCCTGTGATCTTATTTCCTGAGACTTTATTGGGAGCCCTTATACTATTTAGGAAAAAAGTCCCAGGCATCGAAAACTCAGAACTTTATTTTCAGTGTCATTTTTTCCAAAGACTTGAAAAAATTCGGACTTTTTTCAAAAGTTTTATTTCCAGGTTTTTTTCCATTAGCATTAGCATCTTTGCAGGGAGGGTTAATTGATCTGAAGCGGTTATTTTACAGTCTCTTTAAGCGATTGTAAAATAACCGATTTTACAGTCACTTTAAGCGATTGTAAAATAACCGATTTTACAACCTCAAATTTCATTATCTGCAATTTGATGCTGTAAATCTTTGATATTCTTAAACTTAAACTACTTAATCCAACAGAATTCATAGTTTGGAAATATCAAAGGTTCATGACGTAGGGTTGCAAGGATAAGGGGATAAAAATTCATTTTGCGACAACTATGGAGAACGATATGTTGTCAAACGGAGTGAAGCTTTAAGGGGTGATTCATGAATCATTTATGGCATTTTGGAAAATCCACAATTCTTTTTTTAAACATCTCAACCTTCATCATTCCCACCAAGCTCATCATAGCCTCTGCAGGACTGGTCCAGTAACTTTTTGAAAATTTCGAATTTTTCTTATGAAAAATGACCTCTTTCTCCTTTTAACTATAGGGGCATACATAGTGCTTATGGTAAGAAGACATATTGAAAGCCTGAAAGATTTCGGAATTACAAACAAATTATAAACATTTTGTTAGAATGTGAAAACATGTTTTTCATGATGAATTAATACTTTCCAACAACTTTTTTTAAGTCCACATGAAAATGTGATTTTTAAAATTCTAAAAAATTTTACTATTTTCGAACGCTTTCGGTTCTTTGGATATTATGAACAAAATAATAAGGTTCCTACAACACCGCATATTTGAATTTTTGTGATGTTGAAGAAATTGAGTCTTTGCTTCAAACTTAATTTTTCGAATCCTTATATGTATTTAACATAATGGGTTAAACCATTTATATTTGAAGCGTAGACTATTTTATCTAACAGAATTCATAGTTTCAAATATGCAAGGTCTATGCCATTGTGTTGCAAAGATATAGAGGTTAGAAAATCAGAGTATGTGGCAAAAACTCAGTTCCTTTGTTTACCTTTTTCTTTGTTTATCTATGACTGCAAAGAGATGGATGAGAAGATACGTCCTTTCTCCGTGGTATACTAGTATACTGGAGAAAACTCTTTCTTTCTCTCTACATCCTCTCTCCCTCGTTTCATCCCGTCTCTCGATCTCTCTACCATCTCCTAGTCCTCTCTCTTTCCGTCCAATCTCCCTCCTTGATCCCGCTCTCCTCGAAAAGAGACTGTAGACGTATATTAAGTGAATGTCTATTTAAGAAGTAGACGACATTCCTTATAAATACACAATCTATGGAATACACTCGAAAACAAATTAAGACAAAATCCTATATATACATCCTTCGGACGTGCAACTTTAGGCGGAGGGGGAGGAGGGTTACTTGAACCCACTTGAGGGTCACTTCGACAATATGTTTACAATTGCAAAAGGGATTGATTGACTAAAAGTTACAAACACAAATATATTTGATTAAAAAAAGTTGATTTTTAAATACTTACTAATGAAATTAAATCATAACTAAATTAATGGAATCTTTTTTGTTGGTTTAAAATCAGAGACAAAGGCAGAACACATTTCGGAAATTGAAAGTAGTAGTTTGCGTTAGTCAGAGATCGTACTCGTAAAATTAGTTTCAAGAATTTATTTTTATAATCTTAAAGGGAGTGACCGGCAATGTATGGTAGTTGAAGTGATAATGAAGTATTTTGGAGAATTTTTAAGTATTCATTTTAGATATATAAAACGTTTTAATGATGTATAATTACTGAATTTGAGCGTAAATTCGATTTTCAAAATCATTTATTTGAGTGGTTACGTTTTGAGAATTGTTTTTTTAAATTATTAAATATCTACGACAAAAATATATCAAAAATTCTACAGTAAACTAATTAGATGTTTAGGAACATATTTCTTAATAGAGAATCGTTAATAAATCAATGTTAGAATCATTTATTTCTTTTTCATCATTAAATTCAGTTTTTTATTCTTTACAAATTTTTCGTATATTTCTACAAATTCTTCAAATGTCGTCTTTTCAATAAAAATTCCGGAAAATCTACAGAAAATGTTTGTGAATAATGAGAGATTACAGAACTAATAACTTAATAAGATTACTTATTTTCAATGATAATAGTTAATTTTTATTTTCTTGACTTGTTCCTAGACAACTAATTAGTTTAATATAGATTTTTTGCTACAGTTTTTGTCGTCGTTATATAATTTTAAAAAATAGAATCTCAGAATGAAACCACTCAAATGAATGACTTTGAAAGTCAATTTTGCGCTCAAACTCAGTAATTATACATCATTAAAACGTTTTATACATCTCAAATGAATCCTAAATAATTTCAACACAATACTACATTCTTAGTTTAACTACCATACATTGCCGGTCACTCCCTTTAAGCAATATTTTTATTGTAATTGTTTTATAGTGTTTTTGAAACAATTTACTATTTTTCTAGAACGTCCGATAATATCTAAAATTTGTATTAAGGAACTCGGTAGAAACCAGGGAATGTGCGGTTTAAAAATGGGAGGGTTGACTTTAATAAGAAATAATTAAATTTCCGAAAATTTCGAGTGACCTTGTTTTTTTTTGGCTTTTCAAAGGTTTACCCTAAATACTCTAAATATGAAGATCTTCATTAATATTTTTTCTTTTATCAAGCTATGTTAATTGCAAATTATTAACTAATTGCCTCTCAAATTCCTGAAAATAAATATAAACCAAGTGGAAGTTTCCTCTCATCAACAAATTAATATTATAAATATTATTAATATTTTATTAAATTTTTATAATATTTACCGTTGAAGGGTGATTAAGTGACTTTATTGCCCTACAGCAGGGCGAAAAAGTAACTTTTTCACCGTGCAATTAAATTTTCAAATTTCATACCTAATTTTTCTCATTGTAGAGTGATAAAGTTACTTAATCACCATACAACAGGGTGATTGAATAACTTTATCGACCTGCTTTTAAGTAATTTGAGTAAAATTGAAATGGGTTTCATGCTTGCAAAAAAAATTTTGCTGTGATTTTTATTTTCTAGTTTGTTCTTGAAAAACTAAAAATCACGGCAAAAACTTTTTCGCACTAATAGTCTAATACCCATTACAATAACATAAATAGATATAACTCTCACATGGGTTTTTTAATCAGACTTTTAGGACTTCTCCTAAATTTTCTTGAAGAAAGTTTAGTCTGGGGAAGAGAGGGGGTAAGGGGGAGATTTAGGGTCTGGGTTCAAAAAAGATATTTTTCAAACGTAGAAAATTTTGATCATGTATTGAGCGTAACAACAAGTCGCATAGAATTAAGCGCAAGATTTCGCCTAATTATTCATTACTTTGTTTTGTAATTACAAACTTGGTATCTCTTGATATTACCATACATATCACATGAGTGTACAATAAGACAAGAGAGCTTAAGCTTGACCTTTCATTGTATAATGAATACAAAGTTCACAAAAAAACAACAGTTTTTGTGACAAAATTGACAAAAAGTTTAGTTTCACAAAAATACATTAGAATCTTTATATGAGATTTTCCAAAGTTTAATATTCTGGTTTAAACCAATGTATTTGGCCGGCTGTAAACTCTCCAAGTAGAATATAAAGTGTTCTATATTCTTTTCCATGTTTTTACAGTACATTCAGTTTTACTCTTAGATATTCACTTAATCCAACAGAATTCATAGTTTGGAAATATCAAAGGTTCATGACGTAGGGTTGCAAGGATAAGGGGATAAAAATTCATTTTGCGACAACTANTTATATAGCTAGGCTTGTGTCCTTGTGTAGCATTTAGAGCGTTGACTTGTCCCCATCATTTGAGATCGATATATTTTGTTATATAGCTAGGCTTGTGTCCTTGTGTAGCATTTAGAGCGTTGACTTGTCCCCATCATTTGAGATCGATATATTTTGTTATATAGCTAGGCTTGTGTCCTTGTGTAGCATTTAGAGCGTTGACATGTCCCCATCATTTGGGATTGATATATTTTGTTGTATAGCTAGGCTTGTGTCCTTGTGTAGCATTTAAAGCACTTTATTTGTAGCTGGATTTTGATAACTACACTTGTGTCCCTGTGTGGCATTTAGAGCCAGGGATTCTGTACTGTTTGAGTTTGATAGAGGTTCAGACCATGGGCAGATACGTTTCAAGAAAATGTTATGGAGTAGGTGTTTACTACTAACTGATGGCAGCGGCGTGAATCACGGAACCCGGATCAGATGTTAATGCCTAAACCTCCAAGGAAGACAAATCAAGTGAGTACCTAGTTTAAGGGGGTACTGAGAGAAACAAGATGAGGGGTTATCTTCGAAGACGAGACAGCAACAGCAACACTGGATACTGGGGAATCATTGTACTCTATGCTACCACCTAGTGAGGACGGTTCAGAAATAGAAATGAGCATGACAGAAGCTGGAGAAGGGTGAAACCCCCCCCCCCCACAGCAGAGTTACAATTACAGTTCGTAATTCAAAGAATGGAGCAAATGGAGCTAGATAAACAAACTGTGAAGGCAAAAGTTGGAGCAATGCAGAAAGACATAGAAGAGGAAAAAATGCAGAAAGAACAAGAATTGTACGTGCATTGTGCAGACATTGGAAAACAATGCGAAACCAGAGAGCTAGGATCCTATTGCAAGAGTAACAGCAATGCTGGAGAAACCCAAGGTCACAGATGCAAACCAGAAGAGTAACCCCCGCTAACATTCGATCTCCGCCGTGTTTTGGTCTCCGCCATGTCGTATATGCATAGAGAATAGAATATATAGAGAGGAATTAAAAGAATCTTTCGGTATGAATTTTTTCAGTCTCTTTCAGCCTGAAATGGAGTTCAAAGTGTACAAATCATGTAAATGTTCACAAATTATATGCAGTAGAGTACATTAATACAGTTTGTTCCCTAGACTATTCATTTCAATTTCGAAATTTTTAAAGCTGTTAAATACACTATATAATGAATTAGGTGAATAAAAACATCATTTGATTTACAGTTATAACAGAAAATCATCGTTTGTACAGTGGAAGGCATAGAGTCTATGTGAAATAATCATTTGTCAATTATTAAACCAGCCTATTTCATAGTTTGGTTTTCTTTTAACAATAATTTTAGATTTTCTATAAAATGATATTCCAGGGCCCAACAGGTTATATAGCATAAATATGTGAAGTACACCTGCAGTATGGAAACAGTACAACAAAATGGCCGTTTTACACTTTTTTCTAGTAAATTCCTCTCTATATATTCTATTCTCTATGCGTATATGCGATAGCAGAGAGGTTTCTATACCTCCATAGTATGTTCTCCATGTCCCCTCCATCGTAAATGCTATGGCGAAGAAATTACTACACCGCCATAGTATATATACTCCAGATTTCCGCTATATCTCCTCTTTCGTAGGTGCGATGGTGAAGTAATTATGTACCACTATAGTATATACTCCATATATCTCTGTCGCAGATACTCTGTCGAAGGTGTGAGGGCGGAGTAATTATGTACCTCCATAGTATATACTCTATATTTCTGATAAATCTCCTCTGTCGTAGGTACTATGGCGAAGTAATTATGTACCACCATAGTATATACTCCATAAATCTCCGCCGTAGATACTCTGTTGAAGGTGCGAGGGCGGAGTTATTACGTACATCCATAGTATATACTCCATATTTCTGATATATCTCCTCTGTCGCAGGTGTGAGGGCAGAGTTATTATGTACCTCCATAGTATATACTCCATATATCCCCGCTGTAGTTCCTTTGTCGTAGGTGTGACGGTGAAGTGATCAATATACCGCCAGTATATAATCCATGTTTTCGCTGTTGTATATACTAAAGAGGAAAGTAACTAAATCAAACATTTGAACATTTAATTTTTATCAACCTGCGCAGCAGTACACTCATGAGCTTCAGTTACTCTCAAACTCTTCAACATGAAACACCCATGTGAATCTATCCCGTGTGATGTTAATCCAACCAAGGAGCCAGTTGTTTATCCAACCTTGGAGCCTGATGTAAATCTAACTAAGGAGACTAATGTGAATCCAACCAAGGAGCCTGA